TAAGTTTGTGTTCTTCCAGTTTTGGCGATGTTTTCATTTGAGACTTCCACTTTGTTGAGCACCTTTTTAACTCACCTGTCAACACCTTTGATGTATCTGAGGCCTGGAGGTCCATGGACAAGATACCTGGTACACTGGCACTATGCAAACCCTGAAGTAAACATAATTGAAAATCAAAATAATTGACACTGGCATCTACCTTCTCTTCCCTGCAACAATGTTCCTCATGTTACAAAACAAAGATGGGAGGCTTTCAAAGTTCACATTCTACAACCAGGTGAAATTCTGAATCTTTGTTTTTTGAGATGTTAAGTGGTGACTAACGTACCAGTCACACAAGACCAGTCCAGTAAATATTGTTTGTATTATTTTGAGCATGTGTTTATGAGCTAAATATGACAAAAACAGTAGAAAGGTAGAAAGGTAACAGTATCTTTGCTGCCGCCAAGTGTCTAAAAGTCTCCTATTTATTCACACGATTGAGATTTAAGAGTAAAGCACAACCGTCAGGGCAAAAAGCTGATACTGCAAAGAAATTACTACTGCGGGCAACATGTAAACTTGCTTCAGAAACACAACCTACTTATGAATACACTGTGGTCTTGGTGCCAATTTCACTTTGTAGAAAGTGACTTCTAAGTTTCCATACTTACTGGGTGAGAGGATTGGGTCCTGAAGGACCTGATGTCATCAGGGGGCATGAGCTCATCCGGAACTTTCTTGCCTCTGCGCTTACGCTCTGCAGTCAGCAGGTTGGCCTTCTCTTGAAGCTGTGGAAGAAAAGAGTGGGAAATGGGGATACAAGTCAACAGACTTCAACTACTGAAACTGGTCACTGCACACTGGTGAACCTTTGCGTTCACACCTGAATACAAATGATTATACCTGAGTTACAGGTATAACGTTTGCAGTGGTAACACAGTAACTCAACATGAAACACCGAATGTAAATAAAACAGACATATCAGAACCAATAATTAAAAAAAAACACCTGGGTCAGTTTTTCTATTCCCATTGGTCGAAAAGCATCACATGACCGTGTATTAACATTTGATAATGCCTGCTGAGAAGTGATAATGCCCACTGTGTAAATTACACACTGGCACACGGATACGAGAAAGTTTAATCGGGTCTGACTGGTCAGGAATCTGTTTATTGAAGGGAATTCTATTGGATAACTTTCAAAAGGAAGATACCATAAAATGGACGAGGATATTTGAAAAAAATAAAAGTTTTAGAACAAAATCAGTGGAAATCCATCTTACGTTGACCTCTTTTGACTCTTAGAATAAAAGTGTACTTATTAATTAACCACTTCGTACCGGGGCATTTTTCAACGTCGATGATGGTGGGCCGGCATGACAATCATTTTTTCCGTTTTCAAAATCCTTCAACAATTCATCATTCCATTTAACGGTCATTTATAGCCGCACAGAGTAATCTTTAGGCACTACTCTAAGTTGACAGGTGACGTTCACTGAAGCCCGAATATTTCAGCCAGGCCTGCAGCCTTGTAAACAGAGCCCAGATTGTGCGGTGTTATACAACTGTCTTTTGTTCATAAACCTGGCTCAGTACACTGCTGACCTCTTTTCAATAGGGGCCAGATTAGCGTGCAGCGGTGCTGTGTGGCTCATCCCTGCGGTGGTGGAGCGCTTTTGTCCCCGGTGGTAATCCGCTTGCTCTCAATGCCCCAAACCCTGGTATACGGNAGTGAAAAATGCCGGTAATGCCTAGCAGCCTGGTCTTTTGTTCGGAGTATGGTCTTTTGTTACAGGGCCCTGTTTCCTTTGTCCGGAGACCCCGGCCACACATATAAACCACATGGCTCCGATTTCGGCCGATATAACGACCGATAACAGAAGAGTCAAGGATGGTGCTCATCTCCGAACTAAACAATTCACCTTCTGTATGATGTCTTCTGTCATGGCTGCCGGTCCTGGCTCAGCAGCTTCCATGGGTTCGTGTCTAACCACACCCTGGGCAGCACCTGCTGGAAGGGCAGCGATTTGGGCGGGGACCATGCCTGGTGCGGCCTGGGGCTTCAGGGTAGCCAGAGCTGAAAAGTAGTTAAGACCAACTTTGTCGATTATTGTGCATCAATAATCTTACATGCAAAATGACAACAGCAACCGAAACAAGCATAAAAATAAACATTAAAAACATATATTGAAAATTCCTCCCCTAAAAGATTCTGCTGATGCTTATCTTAAAGCAAAAGTATATTTTAATTCTCTCCATTCTTGAAACACAACGACTCAAGTTGGGTAACCCCAACCGTGGACCTTCACTCATGAGGAATATTTGCTAAATATAATTCTTGAATGTTCAAAAATCTATCACAGTCCAGCAACTTTCCTAATGTCTGTAAAATTCTCCACAACCACTGGTAGATTTTGGAGGATCAGGGAAGATTAGAGTTAATGAGATGAAGCAAAGCATGCATTGTAAGGTGTAAGATGTTTTTAACTGAGGGTGAACATTTTGTAAACTTTGCCCGCTCATACAAAATGGCGATCAATATTTGTAAACAAATGAAAGATCCCTTACGGCCGGGATCCACGGCCTGCTTAAAGGGCCCTGAAAGTTCTGGCTATTTTAGATGCTCTCTGGTGGTCTGATGAATTTGATATTTTTTCATGAGATTTTTGCCTTTTTGAACAAAAAATAACTTCTAGAAAAATTTAAATTGTAAAAACTGTCTGCAATTGTTGTTTTATATAGTGTGATTAAACTGCCATTGTTAAGGTAGAAGAACCTAAACAAGCTTTATGCTGATTATTTGACAATAACACAGATTACGTGTACACGTAGGTCAACCCTTGGCTTCGAGAAGAAATCTGTTATTTTTCGTTTTATTCTGGATGATATAGTGAGCATGCAGCGCAAGCCCCGAAACGATTATACTTCAACCTCGTCCCCATGAACATCTCGTGCGAGAGTGGGCACAATATGGCGGCTAATGATCACTATGGAACAAGGTTAATTACACGTATGATCAATTGCTAGTGAACAAGTATGGCTACCTGTGTTCATTTTGTTACAAGTTGATAGATATGGTGTTGTAGATCATTATTTTTAAGTAAGGGAACCCGCCTGCCGGCGTTGATACGTGAAAACGTCCGAACCATAGTCCCAGCGTACATGTACTTTACTGCAGCATATTTTCTATTTTGGATTGGTTGATTGGGGAGGGGGGGAAAGCATGGAGAAAAGACTGAATTTTAACTCAGATTTTATGTTCTCATTTTTCGGGATGTAGATTACACAAGTGTCGAATTAAGTAGTGCAGGCCGTGCTTGAAAAAATGGGCGGTGATTTCACAAAACTGGCCGTGCAAAACAAGGCCGCACAGCTTGCTAGCTGAAACACTGACGTCGCAGGGAAATGAGAGAAACTGACCTTCACGAGCAGCTGTGACCTCTTTGGTGAGTCTGGCAATGACACGGCAGGCCGCGTCATGCTGGTACAGGGCGTGGGACAGCTCCTGCCGGGCTGTCTGCAGCTGCTGGCGCAAGGTGAAGCTGTGCAGCATGCACGCATCCCACTCATCCTGCAGCAACTTCAAGATGGCTGGGATGCTGGTGGCAGTGGGTGGGCGCGGCTTGACCAAGGGGCTCACTGAGTAGGAAAAACAAAGGCATTTACTTAAGTATGTTTCCTGAACTGCATCATATAAATGAGCTTTAAAATGGAAGACTGGAGTCCTGGACTCAGACTTGAGTGCACACTCGAACCCATTTTTTAAAATTCAACTTGTGTCAAGGCTCAGATTAACGACTCTGAGGACCTTTTCAGATGAGAGGGGGGCTTTACTACACGTATTTAAGTTAATTTTGTTAATATGTACACTTATGTACTTGTACATCAATATTTCAAGTAATACGTATTGTATTTTGTGCCTTTATTGTATTTTTCTCTTGTTCTAACCCTAAGCAATTATATTCTTTATAACGTGGCTTCATGGGTACAAATGTGGGCATTACTAAGTGTGATGTTTATCCGTAAAGAAAAAAGGTTTTTTAAAAGTCGTAATGATCAAAGCCCAATTTCGTGGCACTGTAAAAATCTTTTCAGAAAAGTTCTTCATTCTGTAAAAGGAAGGGCTACATAGTTTTATAAGATAACAAGGAATTCTGGCTCCTCTCTCAACGTATCCCATTACTAACATAATCATTGCTTGTCTCGGCGAGCACTTTTAGTAGAATGGTGGTTCAAAATACAGAAATCCATGAACAGAAGAAACAAAGGTTTACTCGTAAGTCTTTAGAATAGTCTAGCCACCTGTCTTTGGACTCTGCATGATGAATCAATGAATAACTTCATACATTCAAACCTCACTCACAAGAGGTCCTTCAGACTTTGCAGATTACCTTGTTATGACAGGAACCTTGTGTTATTCAGAATGAAAACGATGAAGAATAATGACGTCAGACTGTATACGGCAACGAATTTAAGAGACAGCACTTTGATAAATTATACAATTGACCTGCCAACAGACTACTTCAAGGGAAATCAGTAACATGGGGTATCCAATCAAGTCTCACCTTTAATATCTACAAGCTGGTCCTCGGACAGAACCTCCCCATTGATTGGATCAACTCCATTCTCAGCGATAAACTTCTCAATGAGTCGACGCTCAAAGACATGGTTGGACACCGTTGACAACACAGGGTGCTCAGGGACTTCGTGGCAAACTGTTATCGATAGATTGAGAGCATATATGTACTTAGATTGAGATGGATCTTCAAAATTTTATCAGTGTTTTTTACAGAATAATTATTATCGCAGCATTTAGTGAGAGCTATTCTTGCTTAATTGCCTAATGAACATGTTAGGTATACAGTGGAACACCACTATATCGAACATGACGGGGTCCACGCTAAATGTTTGGTACAGCGGTCGTTCGGTGTAGCGAAATTAACTGCCAAACGTTTCGTTGCCATGTTGAATGGTGCCCTCTCTTGTCTAACTGAAGTGACCCTCTTGTGATACTATGATTCGCTGTTTTCATGATATTTTGCTGTTTGCATTCACGTTTGAGGTTTCTAGAAATGCATCTGTTAATTATTTTTGTTTTTTATTAAATCTTGAGTTACAAAATTGATATTTAGTTTATCCTAAAAGTCGTGAAGCTACTACTCAGGATCGATCTCTGATGCATGCTGTGGCGAATCTCGGTTGATTCGCAACAAGATAATATTTGGTAGGTTTTGTGCACAAAATATTGGGAGCCAAGGACGATGATCGGTATAGCCGAATGTTTGGTATAGCGGTGTTCGGTACAGCGACGTTCCACTGTACCATCCTGCACAGGTACAAGGGCAAACGGCCATGCCTTGGTAGATGCCCCTGGTTGATAACGTGTATGCATGCTTGTTTGGCACAATCAATCAATCAGCACAATCACTAAATCATTTTACACTATAGTATCAGTCAATTCTGTATAAAATCAACTTCATTTTTCTTTTTCAAAACTATCTTTCACAACCAAAGGAAGAAAATTAGACAAAAAAGGTGATTGGCTAATGGCAGCATTACACACAAACATGGGATGGAAAATCATGCAATAAGGTTGATATATTGTGCAAAGACTGTGCAATCTCACAGATTGCGCTCTACAACATGCTCATCAAATTTACATTATACGTACATTCCTATCCATGAACAAGCAATCAATTAATAATCATTTAACTCCTTGCATCAGGCCTAATCGCAAGAACATTTCATGTTCTCTTTGGTTCTTAATTTGTTGCATTTAAAGGTTTTTTAAACGGGGAAGAACAGACATGACAGAAAAAGGTCCGAAATAACAACAGCAAATAAGGTTAGTCCCATCTCATTGTATTAATGACATATATTACCGAAGGGCGATTAGTGAATTTTGCCAATCGATTCATCACACAAGAACTAATCACGATTAATTGCTTAATCACAAGTAGTGGCAAAAATTCCGAGACGTGGTGTCAACACGTGAATATGGTGCTTTCATCAGTTTCATTGCAAAAATTCTGCACAAGTACATGTATAGTGCACACTATGCAGCAGCAAGTGCCAGGGCAAGTTTGTTTTTCTGTTTCTCTGCTTTTATGTTATTTCATTAATTCTGAAATCTGGACAGCCAGTGGCAGTATTCTCCATAGCTGCTATAAACTTATCACGATTACATACAGGTTATGCTGGAATGGTTGCGGCTTGAGCTCCAGTTCCAGAACTAGGACCTACTGTCAGGAAAAATTCGGAACTAGGCCTACGAGACTAGGTCAGTGCTGGTGCAAGATCCATCCATCCTTGGAAATATGATCAAAAAGTTATCGCCACCACCCTTTTTATAATACCTCAGAAATTAGGCTTATCTATCTACTACGTGAAATTCCTTCCCATTATTAAGGCACAGTATAGTCCAAGTAACTTGGACCCTACAAATGGCCTTTTTTAACATTGGACATGGTGGGGCAATAGTAGGGTTAAAGTACCTTCCATATACTTTTCTTCCATTAATTCATTTCACTCACAATGGCTTGCACACCAAGTCAAAATCCTTCGAAATCACCTCTAAAACTGTCCTTAAAATGTCTAATGTGCCTGTCTATGGATTAACCCTCCTTTTGCTGTAACCGTCAAAAAGTCAAAAATTCTTTCCACTTGATTTCCCCCAGTACACAGACAGATATGGGAAATTTGACTGGTTTTGACTGATAAGAAAACTGTGTCAAAAATGTGTCTTTGCACAGGAGGGTTAAGTGAGAATCGAAGATTCAAATATCAATAATAACATGATTTAGGCCTACTCACATGAGAAAAAAAGAGAAATTTCCCCTTCAAATCAGAAATGCTCTTGTCAACGAGCTCGAAGATGTCATTTTTCCCTCAAATAGTGATTTTTTATTGATGTAATCTTGACGTCACCCCGCGCCAGCCTAGCTGACCATTCACATAAAGCATGTTGTGTTGGCACACGTGCACCAATGACTGCTCCCTTAGCAGTGCAAAGTTTGGTGGCTGTGACCATAATTATCAAAACTGCAGGCCTATTTGTTATAGGCCTCCTGAAGACATTGTGCATACAAGTATGCTGCTCAGCCTCAGGAAAACTACATGTAGTTCAGTACAGTAGTTGAGACTAGTTGCTCCTTTTTACGCACGGACAGTCGAGTTGTCTCCACGGTTGAGTTGTCCGAAGTCGAGTTGGCACACAATCGAGTTGTCCGGACCCCCAAACCATTAGACATGCTAGAATACATCTCCCATTTCACGTGTCGGAAATGTAAGCTTTGACACGCACACGAACAATGAGAACACAACTGCATCAACATGACCAAGCCCACATGTCCGCTGAGTTATGCATTTCGAAACAAAGTATGAACATTGAGCAACTATAAATGGGTATGGGCGGAAATTAAACTGTTTATCTATTACGAGGCTGTACATTTAGATTTTCGAAATGATTATTATGGAAACAAACGTCAATATTTTACAACTGGGAAAGACACTTACTTGAGCAAACGAGCGCCATCTTCAATTATCTTGCTTCGATGAAGTTTTAGAGTTTTTACTTGTAGTTCATACCTTTTCTGAAAATAAAATTGTATGCTACAATTTAAAAAAAAACATTGTTATTATCCATAAAAAGACATTTTAAATGCTTTTAACGTTTTCTAAAACCAGACATTTAAATGTGTTAATTAATTCTACTTGATAAATCGCATAATTCAATGAAATATCACCTACATGCTCATAAAAATAGTACAGTGGAAACGGCGTGCTTACGGTAGTCAATAAAAGCCATTGGCTTTCAAGAAGGTTGCGTCCCTAAAAAGCAGCTAAGCAGCACGTCAACTCGAAGTTGTCGCTGATTAGCGGTAACCTTAAAAGGAATCATCTACTCTGTACATGTATCTGTTATGCACTTTGAGTTGAATGCTGACAGGGAACGGATACAATAAAAATTTATTCCTACGCATACTTAAAATCGAAAATTAAGCACCACCGACAAGGGAGGAGGGAATAGTATGACTTGTCTGGTCAGCATATCCAACTCTCTGCTGGCCATAGAAATCTGAAAAAACGGGAAGAGGGAGAGCTGACATCATATGACATTATACATGTACATGTATATGGGGGCCATTTTGGTGGTTCCGGGAAGTCCGAAAAATTCTTCACAATCCGCCTTGATGTTTTCCTCACCAAAAGTGGGTGGGGGATGATTCGCAGCCATCGACTCCCCAGGCTCCCCCCCAAAAAAGTCGGGAATATATATCCCCATCCCTCGGAATTTACGCTCATAGGTGGATCCGTAATACCTGGAATTTTCCAATGTTAAGGCCCATGGGTGAGGCCACTTTTTTGGGCTTATTACACGCTTTTGGAAGGAACAGAAATGACCACTAGGACCAAATAATTGCTTTTCTCACATCACGTTTCAAAAGGTAGGGCGGGGTATGGTCCCCGTTGAGCCCCCAGGATCCAACCATACCTACACCCATGGAAAATAGTGCTATCTTTTGAATGTTAGGGGCAGATCCATGATTTATTCTCTGGGGGAGGCTCGGGGTGGGGGTGGGGGGCCGTACAGATATCGCCGTTGGTGACGCCAAAGTCCTTAACTGTCACGCAAAATTATATGGTTAACGTTTATGGGGTTATCCAACGTTTAGACGTAGCCCCCTTAAAGGGGGGGGGTTGGCCCCTTCCCCTGGATTTTCGCCTACGATTTGAATCTGAGACATGTCAAGAACGGAAAACATCACTTAAATTGTAAGCTAAGTCTACCAAGACCCCCCCCGCCATCCACTCGTAGATGTAAACAAATACATGTTTTAAGCTTAAGACCCGGGAGTCCGTAGAGAATGACCTCCCAGGGTTGAGTAGGAAAACATTTTTAAAAGGATATCAAATCCCGCGGACTGGTAAATAACTTTATCCAAAAGTAGTGAGCTCATCGGGATAGTTTTAAGCATTGATGATTTTTCATGCAGAGACCCCCATACCCTTGTTTACCCATTTTCCCGCGAAAACGGGTTCCAAGTCATGATGAATTACGAGCGTTGAGCAATGCACGATCAAACGAACTCTTCACTGAGGAGGAAATCTAGCCCCAAACTTCAGCCCCGTAAAATAGATGCCATTCCTTGTATTTTTAAAAGGTGGCAGCAAGTGGTGTGCATGCTGCGGGCCGGGCGGTACTGGTAAATTGCCGCCAAAACGGATCAGCATCACCAGCCTTCTAACGCTAGATAGCACCTATCATGCTATCCAGACTTCAAAAACGAGACCGCCACAATACCAATAAGACAAAGTTCACATTGTTTTTTTTTTACTCAATTTATTATATGAGTTCTGGGAGCAGATTACAAAAATATGTTCGTATATTCACTGAAACGAAAGACGCTGGGTTGCATTAACCTTAACAAAACCAAGACAAAACAAAGTCACCTTAAAACTGTATATAGAAAAAAAATTGAATAAAGCCAAAACCTTAAGTCCATGTACTTGTAAGGCATAAAAAATCAACGGCAAAAACATCCGGTGACACAATTATACGTTCATGGGCTTAGTGGGGCATCTGATTTTTTATAAAGAGTCGACAGCTGTTTTCTTTATGGCGTTTTTCCTTCGACTTCTAAGACATTCCTTTTTTGACGACTGAACAAACACAGTCTCAAGCAATATCATGATTTCCATTTGGAAGCAGAAAAGACGCGATCCTAATATAACCATTAACTTGAGCAATATTTTTCAAGAAGCAGTAGACCCTTAGTTAAAAGGCATCTCCTGCTCTTTGTTGTTTTAATTCGAAAGTAATTCAAAGTGTTCTATAGTTCCAACACTGCAATATTGCTGTATGCTGGTTTATTCGCATAGTCATTTTGTGGCCAAGTATTGTGAACCAATCGGTTATGAAGGAATCATGATACATTTTACTTCTTCTGCACTTGCATTATGGGATGGATTACTTACAGAAACTTAAAGTTTCAAGAAGTAGGAATGGATAACAACAGGAATGAAGACCGAGGCCCGGCGCACACAGTCGAAGGTATAGCTGGTCAATAAATTCATGCATGGTCAAAGAATACTTGGTTATCAGTTATGACACTAGTTCCAGGTCACTAGGAAAAATAATAATAATAATTAAAAAAATCCCTCAAATTGACCCAAATTTGATTAATACAAATCGACAAGTTTTGTAATACACTTTCAATGGTGCATGTTTAAACGTGATCGTGTCTTATACCCTTCACTGAAAGCCGTGACGGCCTTGTACGGTATCGGTAACGTCTTTTCCTTCCTCCATGCTTTATTAAACATACCCCCAGTTACCAAAAGGTCTAATTGAAAACAGTCATGCTGAAGTGTAGCCAGAAAAATACAGGGTGATTTAACCTATATGTATACTTCTTCAGAACCATTATAAAACCTTTATGATATACAAAATACAAACGCCAACAAAGTTAAAGTTGCTGGTAGCGACGTTTCGGCTGCTAGTGCTGCTAGCCTTCATCAGGCAACTGAAGTCTGGATGCTGCAGGGTCTGCTATATACCGCCGGACCGCGTCCTCCGCGTGTCCCCCGCCGTGTATTGCGGACGCAGTACAGGTGACCTCAGTGACGCCATGTATTGCGTCCGCAATACACGGCGGGGGACAAGCGGAGGACGCGGTCCGACGGTATAGCAGAGGCCTGCAGCATCCAGACTTCAGTTGCCTGATGAAGGCTTGCACTGCACTAGCAGCCGAAACGTCGCTACCAGCAACACGACACCGCGAGTCATCGATTATCTTTTTACTGTATTTGTCATCCACCGCGGTGATTATGTTTATCTCTTCTATTGAAAGTTAAAGTTTGTAATTTCCCCTAAGCATCACACCGTTACTTAACCATTTACCACACAGTATACTGTAGTAACCTTAAAGCCGACCAACCACTGTTAACCATCACTAATTATGAGCCCGTTTGGTATATTCTAACAGCGCATCATTGATCAAACTGAAGCGCGTCTGAGCTTGTTGAGCCTCGTGCGTAAGAGGTCTTTCTTATCAGTGCAGCCCCACGTAGACCCACGTGCATGCTTTGTTCCCGAATGGCCCTATCTTTTTGAAACACTCAAACTGGCTCATTTCACTTGTAAAGGGTGAAAAGCCCATCTACGTATTGTGCAAAGGCTATAGCACTGCAGGGGAAATAGTTTTACCGTGTCTTAGGCACAATGTCACTCACCTCCCAAATGCCAATTAGGCCTACCTGTCACTGCCCCGATTTCGTAGAAAATCAAATAAAGTAAATTGTGCAAACTAAGTTTCCACGACCTCACACTCCTTCCACTTATCTGTGAGGATAGCATGAATATATTTCAGGTTTCTGTTTTTGCAATTCGGTCCGCAAACTGAATTAAACTCTCTCTCTCGCCAATGATTCTCCTCAAGTTGCTCAAGTGCCAATTTTGGAGTTCTTCGTCCAGGGATCAGCTCAGAGAGGGGTTTGGTCTTGTACTGCCTCATCGGATACAGCTGCATCGAAAACACAATCAGGCACAATTGCCAAAAGTCCATCAATCTATTGCTCCTGTATGTATTCTTGAACCAAAAGATAATTTACAGTGGTCACTTTTGAGCCTGACAGTAACTGTTGAAAAGGATGGGCACTGTTATCAATAATGGGGAATATTAGTCATCAGTGGCATTTCATGACAAGAAAAGAATAAAATTGCCTATATATGACAAAGAGAATGTTCATCAAAGATCCAATTTCTATACTTACCTCCAGCATTCTCGTACACATTTATCACCTTCTCTGGCCTATCTTCCACATCAGCATCTCTGACTTTCTTGTTACCACCGTCGGCTTCCTCCTTCTTGGTGAGGGCTCCTACTTTTCCCAGGAACATGAGCACCAGAATGATTGTGGCATCTGCCGTCAGACCGATGGAGATACCCGGAATACCATACAGGGGGTCAGCCAGGTGCAGCACACAGGCCCAGGCAGTCAGAATCAAGATGCTAAACAGACTACTGACTGAGATGGATTTACCTTCATGCTGGGCATGGGGGGAGTTGAGGGCGCCAAAGGAGGAGAAGAATGTGACCAGGACCAAGAAGTAGGCATACATCATGAAGATGGTTAGATCGATGTTGGAAATTGCACACGTTTGCACTGAACTGGATGCACAAGTGTCACTGTTTACAGAGGGCAAACTGACACCAGGGGGGATCAGGACAAGCCACTCAACGATCAGGAAAATTTCAGGAAGAAGAAAGGCCAAGAATAACAGAGACTGAGACCAAGAGCCAGCAAAGTTCATGTCAACACCTGGCTGTTTGCGTGCAAATCGATTGGCACGGATGCTTTTGGCAAACATAGCAGCATACACCATGCAGTACACAAAACTGATGCCAAACCGACGGATGCCACAGATAGCTGTATTGGGCTTAAACATGAAAGCCAGATTCAGGAGGTACATGAGGACGATACCAAAGAGAAGCCACGCGCTGAGACTGAAAGATGCACTCTGAACAACATAACTCTGCCGATTACTGAGAAACAAGATGGCTATCAAGACTGCAAACACTCCACACAGTCCAGACAGAGCAAGGACAACGGTTGCCCATATACCATGATCTATCCAGCTCCAGACATGCGCCTGCTGTGAGTAAGCTCCTTCGGGTGAAAGAAGAGGACCACAGGAACATCCAGATGGACTTCTTTGAGGCTCTTCTGCATCAGGGCTGTACAAGTTCACACCTGCACTCCGAATGCTCAGTTGATTGTTGTGCCATTCACCAACCTATCCAAAAAATGAAAGAAAAAAAGAATTTTATGGTTATGGGAAGATTATATTGTAATTAGACCGAGTGCATAGATGCCAAAACATGCCCCAACAGATGTTACCTGAAAGAAGGCTAAATTATTATCGTGCCTTTTCAGAAGCAATATGATACCGATTAGGTGTAATTGGCATTTACTTATGTGATGTAGTATATTTGATTATATTTCTCACCAGCAATGAGTGACAAGTTACTTACAACAAGGAATTGTCCATTTTGCCCATCATACTGGTAGTTTTTGATGCTGTAAGCCGCTGGAACACTCCCTCCATTGAATAAGAAAGGTTTCCCACCAGCCCCAGATTCCACTGTCACACGACGAATAGCATCCACCTTCTCATCAGGAGATGAATCATAGAAACTCTTACATAGTTCATCACTGGATGAACCACATTTTATGTCATGGAGCAAGTTGACACCATGAGCAGCTACATACAAAGCATTGACCAATGGAACAATTTCTCCAGACAACTCTTTGAGGGATTCTTGGAGTTGATTTTCAAGCTGGCAGTCGGATAAGCTGGGACAGATTTCCTGGAGATAATCTCTGAGATACGGATCTCTTAAACTTGCAGCTCGTAGGCTGTCTGAATTTGAGAAGTAGTCCTGTATTTCAGGAAGATCTTGGCTGTCACTGGCCACCACCAACATTCCTTTGGCTGTGTTTTCGAGACCAGACACCAATGTAAGAGAGTCCCATGTGTGCGTCCCCACCCACACAAACCTCCTAGTCAGTTCAAATTTATCTGCAAACAACAGACTTCTGGCGTGTCTCTCACTGACAAATGCCACAATGACATTCAGAGACTCATCACTGCTGAAATCGTTCATGATATCTTGGATATCTGTTGTATCATTAACAAAGTGCTGTGGTCCAATGCAAATCCCAGCTTCCCAGGCAGCCACCTGGAATTCCTGATTGTTGGCCTTGCCATATGGAGAAGCAGAGTGTACTACTCCCACATAAGCCCAATTATATGCATTCAAGATTGCAATGATAGCAGCAACTTCTTCGATGTATGGGGCGGATGTGCTCAACACGCGGGGATTGTTGCTGAGACTGGGACTGACAGCACCGTGGCTGACCTGTAACAATCAATAAGCCTTTGTAGCATCAGTGATTGCATTTAGGGAATTAATAAACAGAGAATGTTAAAGCCTGTAATATTTGACTTCCCGCCATGTCTTTTTAATTCACTTTACTGCTGAAACAGGAATGGATTATAGATTTCATCTGCATACACACATTTTCAAATAATGTATCAACCGTTTTGTTTCTAGAGGTTGGTTCAAGCTTTTACCAAAGAGTCAGATACTTACCATTGGCAGTTTACTTAGACCAGTTATGATTTCGGCAATCTCCTCAGCAACATCAGACTTAGCTGGACCCAGAACAGCAAAAGGTTTTCCAGTACCTTCAAGATTGACAAAACCACCCAACAGCCCTACAAGCTTCCATATGGCAACTGCAGGATTCCCGCAGGAATCCACTACAGTCACACCAAGGTTAATTCCAGGTAGAATTGAGGGGTCAGAATTAACCTTGTCAAGAGCATAGAGGAGGGATTCAAGAACCAGTGATTCTTCAGGCTTGGGATCTCCACAAGTTACCCCATCTCCAGACTCACTGAGTTGAAGCACGACAGGTAAGTCCAAGTCCCCGGGTATACGGAAGTAGTTGTCTTGATCAAAGGTGCTGTTTGTAGCAGATCGAGGATTGCATTCCAAACACAAGCCAGTACATTGTGAAGAGAACATAGGATCAATGATGACATCAGTAAGGTTGGATACGCCGATCACATCATCCCAGGAACCAACCTAATGATAAATAGATGTGAAGGTTGCTTACAATTTAGGCGCATTTGACAACTTATAAAGCTAGTGCTCAGAAGAAAAACCAATAATGTATTTAAAAAAAGCTCATTTTCTCACAGTTCTGAATATTTTATGTGCTGTGGGTACCTTTGTTCATTCGCCGTATTAAAACTAAGTTACAATTTGTAAATAAACATTTACCTCTTGCAAATGGTACACATTGTTCATGTGCTGGAGCTGGTATATTGAATAAGATGCTGTTCCATCTCCATTTTCGTCAAAGCTAACCAACTTCTTTGAGCCAAACTGACTGATGAAAGCAACTTCTTGAAGGTAATCCAACCATCCCTGGCTTGTCACATTGTAGAGAGCATCACAGATACCTCCCCCAGGACAAAGTTCACCAATGAGGTTAGATAGAGAAAATTCGTAGGCGTACACAACATTGATGATGTTTTCCATTCCAAGGCTGTTCACATCATTTCTTGACAGCATCTCTGAACCTGAAAGATTCATTATCAAATAATTTATAATTTGATGAAACTCAAATTCCAATGCAATTATGTTCAAATGTGCTACATAAAATGTTTAACTACAGCAGTGTGGTTGAGCCTAAAGCATAAAGGTATCGGGCAGCTGTCAAACGACATACATCTGCCCACAGAGCACAGCCAGAGACTGTAAATGTTGTTTTTGCAGAGGGAGGAAAACTGAAGAACCCGGAAATTTTTTCTGGGACAGAAGTGAAGCAAACAACTCTAACTGCAATCAAACCAAGGACCACAGTGGTGACAGGCAAGAGTTTTTCAAGCTAGCCACCCGTGCAACCTCAATACCTTGAAAAACTCCTTGGTTAAGAACAACTAAATCTAGGTTTAATAACTGTGAAGTCAGAAGTTTGCAGATTAAATAGCGATTACAGTACTTAGGTCAGCGTTTTCTTTTTAATTGGATAACAAACATAGCATGAAAATTTTCAGTGTTGGAGGATGAAAAAGAAAACACGATAAAACTCTGAAGTCCCATTTTTCCCTACAATTAACTTATCTAGGGTGGGAGGAAAAAACAATTGAATTCAGTCAATTTTTTTTCAAAACACTAAAAATGCCACCAGAAATACAACAATGTCAATTTTTTCTTTTTTCTTTCTAAAATTGCACTGTTCAGATTCGGTGGGTTTGTTATCCAGTCAATAACAAAGATGGCCTTAGATTATGATACTTATGTAATTTATTCCTTATAATACAAAAGTTTAACAGTTCCTTGATCATAATACGTACATTATTTAAGTGTGATTTTAAAATAAAAAATTGATCTTAGCAAAAGTAAAACTGTTAATATGCAAATTAATTTTTTTGTAAGTTTTGCAAGGCCAGGCTAAGCTTAATTGTCTCTGTCGTCTGGAAGTTCCATACTTCAAGTTTGTACATCTTTTGGGATTTGTAATCTCAAAGCAAGGATATACATGAGCAATAATCCATTTGCACCTTTAGCAATCCATACCTGTACAGTTTTTGTCATATGTTGTGTCACCACCAGGAAGGTTGCATTTGAATTTCTGTGTCCAGTATTCGATGAAGAAAGGATTAATGCCATTGTGAGTCCCGGGAGTCTGTTGGAGGAAGTACTCTTCAAACTCTAGGATCACTGATGTTTTGGGAGAAACTGTAAATGCTCCTACACATCAATGATAAAAGAGTGACAGATTTGATTTGTAAATGTGAGAGAAAACAGTAATGATATATGATGTATGAAAACAAGTACATGTAAGACGTAAACAGAAAAGGCAACTATTTTAATAAGGGAACTGGCATACCCAAAGCTTGATTTTCTAAGCCAGGTATGTAGTCAGTCCTGGCACCCCAAGTATCCGATGCAACGATCTGAAATTGACTTGGATCCACATTTCTTGTTAGCATCTCTCCAAATAAGGCTTGAGCATTTTCGTCAATCAAGAAAAGGACCAATGTTCTTGCTTCTGGTTTGGCCAATATGTTATTCAGCAGATTGGCAAAATTGGTGTCCGAGTCTATGAAATGGGAGTTGGCTATGCAGATTCCTTTCTGTTTAAGGAAAGAATAAAGAATCTTTAGTTAAAAATGCTCACACTTCAGAACTAGGTTAACTCTTTTATTTCTTGAGTAATTCATCATTTATCAAAATCAGTGCTTTTCCAATAGCAAAAATAGATTTCTCTTCATTAAGTGTAGTTTTGAATGATAGCTTTAAAAACAATCAAGTGGCAAAACCACAATTATTGCAGACTGTATTTGCAATGTTCCTACCTCTTTTGCTGCCTCTTTAAGAGCCTTGATACCTCCTTCTCCATAAGCGCCCATGGTATAGATTGTCTGTATGTAAGTTAATCCTAATCTTGTTAACAATTCAACCATAGCAGCAGCTTGTTTGATATCTGAAGGTACCGTACGAAGAAAATTGCCAAACATGCTCTTGTCACTGAGTGCTGGACTGGTGGCACTGCTAGCAATCAGCGGCACATCTGCAACCTGCAGGACTTTGCTCTCTGCAATGGCCTTACCACTGCTCCCAGAATGCAGCATGCCCAAGAGATAGGATTGCTGATCTTGGCCTGGAAACCCTCCATCAAAGTCCCATCCTTGGACCAATCGTAAAGCTGCCCTACCAGCATCAGCTGTATCCCCACAAATGTCATTAATTGTCAAGGACATCCTTGCGTCCATCCGGAGATCGGAGTAACGGTTAATTTGACGTACAGCAAAGAGAGCTGCCTCCACTTGGGTGAATCTGTTCTCTTGAAGAGCACCACATTCACCTCCATGAAGATCAAAGAGAGCCTCTATGACAAATTCGATTCGATCATCGGCATAGTGGCATACGGGATCACCACAGAATTTTTCTAAACATGGTGACTCAGGCATATCAACAATAGAGCCATCTTGCCCATAGAATTTCAGCAAATCCTTGTTCAGATCAAGGCCTCCATCAGATGTCCATCCACCAACCTGGAAAGAAAAATTTCATTAGCGCTATGTTTTCTAAGACGAAGTTATCAAAACTTTGGTTGGAAACACTGAATGTATATTTATGTATGTTTGTTACTTTTGAACAATGTAGCTTGTAGTATGCATGTGTCTAGTAGCACTTTATTGAATATGCAGTTGTAAAAAAAACAACTTCAAAGTTTGCGTATGAAATGAGCATCTGATTATCATGATTTTCTTCTATTTTTGCATGTGAATCAGGAGGATTAGGTCCCTACAGCCCCTGTCTGCTACTTTTCAGGCCTATTTATTACTCAACTCATCCCAATGGCAAGGATAATAAAAAAGTCTACTCCTGGTGATAAAATTTATCTTTACAATGAACAGGTGTGTTTATAATCTATGAATACCTGGCCGTATTGGTAGACCCCATTCATTTCAGTTAACTGGTAAAAGGAATAATGGGCAGGGCCATCTCCATTCTCATCAAACTTCACTCTCTTCCTCAAACCAACATGACTGACAAAATCCACTGCTCTGAGGTGTTCAATCCAATCCTCACTTGGCACATCAAAGAGAGCATCACAGACCCTTCCGTCTGGGCAGGTGTCCCTGATGAGATTTGACAAGGCGACTGCATACACATAAACTGAATTGATGAAGTCTTCCACTCCCAAGCTGTCAACATCACTGCTTGACAGCATCTCAGATCCTGCACATGAAATATGCATTGTCATTCTTAAATTGGAAACTATGTCTTTTCTGTTCATATCATGACCCTGTTGGAGGGACATGGCAAAATGCTGTGATAAAGTGTCACAAAAGATTAAGCCATTTGCCTCTGTATGATCTTCTCTGCATAGAGCACATCGTTGCACCAGAACCTATTTCACAAAAAACAGTTCACAAGTGGACAATTTAAGCAGTAAAATAAATTGATGAGTATGAAAGTAGCACAAAATTTCTTATCCTCAATAATGTTGTTGAAAACAGAGAACAAATCTCTTCTGGTAGAAATCATATCTGTTAGTTGTTCAGCTTGCTTTTATTTTAATGCTTTTTGAATTTGTCCCAGTTTTAGAGTAAACTAGTTCTTCCTCTCTTCCCAATGATACCTCGTTTTAGTTGAAAAAAAAAACAAAAAACCTGACAATACCTGTACAATTGCGGTTGTATACTGGTTGGTTTCCTGGAAGATTGCATTCAAATGTTTGCATCCAAAACTCTTTGAAGAAAGGATTATAAGCAGTATCTGGAGTAAGGCCCAGAAAGTAATCCTCAAATTCTGGAACATCTGCAGCAGTGAAAGCCACTGTCAAGGCTCCTGAAGGGAATATTTTAGGGAATATTTTAGGATTAGAGCTACCTATTATTCTGTTCATGTTACAATAATGGTGTGCTGTTCATTTTATATGACTGAACCTACTGCTTCTGCACAGTGTACCTAACTATGAGTGTTGGTCTTTGTGAGAATCTTGTTTTAAAACTTTCATGAAGTAATGCTTCATATAAAATGCTTCATTTCTTCACATGCAAAAAATACTCAAAATCAAAAATATATACTTTTACAGTATATAAATAAGGCAAAACAGTTTTGAACTGCAGTGACAAAAATGTAACCCATAATAGCCAAACAATGGAATTAAACAAAGAATATGTATATAAATAAGTGTCACTGAGAGAGTAACTGAACTAACTTGGTATTCCAACAGTGCATGCCCCAAATTGAGGGGGGGAAAAGCAATGTATGTTTGCCCCATCAGCATGGCTATAACCGACTCACGTATGCCAAATTAGTTGACTTGACATCAGGTGCTTTAGTACCTTTTCTTTTGAAAAACAGTTCTGTAAATTTCCAAATTAAACAATCATTTTAGTCCATGACATCAGTGTAGGCGTATTATGGGCCAATGGACGTTGACCACATTGAAAACACTGATGAACTAAAAATGAGATATTATTCATACCATTGGCTGGACTTTCCAGACCAGGGAGTAGGTCCATCCTGGTGCCCCAGGTATCTGACCCAATGAACTGAAATCTTCCTGAGCTGACATTCATGGCAACCAACTGCTGGAACAGGCCTCGTGCATGGGATGAGCTCAAGAAGACAACAACGGTCTTGGCTTCATGTTTTTCCATGAGGCCCTGGACTAGATTAGCAAAATTAGTGTCCGAGTCCACTCTGGAGGAATTCGAAATACAAATGCCTGCCTGTATGTAGAAAGGAAGCACGTAACTAATGATCAGCATTGCATTTCAATGTATATTGGTGTTAAGAATGTCATATCTGAATTGGGAGTTTATTTAGATCAAATGTTTGTTTTTTATTACTACAAAAGTTTGTATTTTACAAATTTCATCCAAATAATAAAAATATGAAAATTGTCACGTTTTCTTTTGGGCAGATATGGCTGAAATCCAGTCAGAACTCACCGCATCCATACACATTGATGCTTTTGATGCTACGCAATAAATGAGTTAGGTTTAATCTGTTCAGATATTACCATGGCAGTTTATCAATGTTCCTCCTTTCTTGCCCTTACCTCTTTGGATAACTGTTTCATAGCTTCAATGCCACCATCTCCATAGGCACCCTTTGTGTTGACTGTCTGTATGTAATTTAAGCCAAGACTTGCCAAAAGATCCATTATAGCAGCTGCCTGCCCAAGGTCTGAAGGTACAGTACGCAGAAAGTTGCCAAACTCATCTTTGTCACTTAAAAGAGGACTGGAAGCAATATTGTCAATCATTGGCACATTTGCCAACAGTAGATTTTTAGCTGTTTTGATAGCTGATCCACTTGAAGAGGAATGCAGTGCACCTAGGAGGTGGGATTCATCTTGTCTGGGAAATCCTTCAACAAAGTCCCATCCCTGGATCAACTCCAAGGACACCCTACCTACTTTATCTAAGTCCCCGCAGATCTCATTTGCCTTCAAAGAAATATCAACATTCGGTAAAAGACTTGGGTCTTGGTTGATTTGATGAACCGCAAAGAAAACAGCCTCTAATCGGTAAAATATAAAAAGACTGAAAGAATCACATTGAGACCCGTGTATTATAGAAAGAGTCTCTATGACAACTTCTGTGAGATCTTGGCATCTTGGGTCAAAACACGATCCCTCCAGGCACACTGAAGTGGGAGGATCAACAGGGGAATCTCCTTGGCCATAGAATTCTACCTGGTCCTTGTTGAGTGTCAGGCCCTGATCGGCGTTCCACTCACCAACCTGAAAAAAGGGAAAAATTCAACAATTCAAGTGTATTCTGGTATGAAACTGCAACTCAGTCTTTCAAGTGTAATTAAATCAGTCTGCTCTTCCTGATCAGAACATGGCTATGTCGATCAATGATTTATATTTCACTGCAGTACTACCACTATCTTACCATTATCACTACATTTCATCACAACCTATAGTAAATGCATACCTTTTGGAAGGGGTACATGTTTGGTGTGCTGGTGCTCTTGAACTGCAGAACCTCATAAAATTGAAATGTCGGGTCACCATGTTCATCAAATGATACGGTGCGACCGTCTATTCCTGTGAAGGTTACCCTTCTGATGTAGTCAGAGAATTCAGATCCTAGTAACAAGATAAGAATCAATTCTAACTTGGTATACCAACTATTTGTCAAGTCCTGTCTTCATACAGAAGTGTACAAGCTTGAATTAAAATTTTAAACTACAAATGACTACAAATGGCGTCAATTTTAATTCATATCAAGTATAATTTGAAACATGAACATTTTAACCACGTATGTAACTATGTAGAAGTCAACATTTAAACTCCATGGGGCTCCAAATGGTTCACAGCACATTTTTTCATAACATGCGTAGGTTCCTTAACATAAATGAGTGCATTCTTATTTCATCAAGTGATACAAAACTGTTAAACTCACTGTACCCCTTATCCTCTGTAGGCTTGATTAATTTTGTCAATTACAAATTACATACATGACATAAACATCTGTGTAAGGACAAAACGTGTAATTAAAATTTACATACATTTACATTTACCTTGGATATTGGCCAGTGCCTCACACACCCTTTGCTGACCACCACATTTTTCCTGGTGTGCCAAGGAGAATGCAGCTATGTAAGCATGAATGGCATCAATCAGGTGTCCAGTAGGACTATGATTAAATTCAACATTTGGATACCACTGTGCAAGCCACGTCTTGTATGCATCACCCATGTCAACAAACGGCGACAAAACAAAGAGACTGCGAACAGCTTTAGCATTGCCTGGGATGCTGCTGCTGAAGTCAATGTCTAGTGGTGCATAATTGCCAGAGAGCCATGTCATGTTGTAGGCAGCACCTTTGATGCGTTCTACAGCCAAGAACAGCCTCCAAATGTTGTCTGGTTGAGCCCACAGAATGACAACTGAAGTGAAAAACATTTGTGATTTAAGTTTTAGCTGTCCCCTGGTATTTTGAAACAAAAGGTGGGTTATAGTGCCTAGTGCTTGTTACTCCACTGCTGCCCTAAACAGACGAGATATGACACGTGGATACTACGTCTCACATAGTGTTGAAGATTGAATAAACCTGAGGTTCCATATATGCATCTCTTTGAGCTAAATAATGTTGCTATTAGTTTCCCACACTTCTTCTTGTTACACCTGTAAGAGTCCTTATATTTCAATAACTTAAAAAGTTACAAGTTCTAAATCATACCACTGATATTCCGTTGAATGAGGTCATTCACAATAGCATCATATGCATGGTCACTTGTCTCTGTGGCACCAACTCTGATAGGGTTAGTCAGACAAAATCCAGCCTCTTTGATGGCATCTTCCAGAGCTTTGAGTGCATTCATCCCATGTGTGTCATCACTGTGAACTACAGCTGAGTAGGTCCAGCCATAACTCTTCAAAATGTCCACTAGGGCCTGTTCAAGTGGAAAACAAGACATAGCTAGGTCAATCTTTCTCATTTTAGATGTATAATATTCTAACTAATACATGTATTTGTAACTACTGGACTATGCAATGGACTGTGTTTATCAAGGATAAGGCTGCAATCCAGTCATACCTTGACAGCAACATTGTCAGGTGGAAGAGTCCTGAAAAAATTGGGGTATTTCTCCACATCACTTAAAGAAGGGGATGTTGAAGTGAAAGAAATGGCTGGAAGGTCAAGTGGTTGCAGAAGTGGCGCCAATGACTCACTCCAGGAGCTATACCTGAATCCAACAACACCTAATTATGAAAAAAAGTTTAGTTTAGAAATAGTAAGAAAGAATTTGGAAGTTCTCTTGAATCCTTTATGTTTAGCCCATTTAAGGCCTTTCCTTTTGAATATGATTGGGTTAGAATTTGTGTCAATTACTGGTTCTGTTATGGATTCACAGTACATGTATAGCTCAAGTTAACCAAAGCATGTTGGTGTACTGCAGATTACTTACATTCTTCAAGCATGGCTGAAAGACTTGACAAAGCCAACAAATTGACCAAACGGAAGGGAATGATTTAAAATTAGTTTTGATAAGTCTGTGGCCAGTTCCCAATTACTTAACTATTGCTAGGAGTATCACATGTGGTTGTCATGTGGCTTATTGCCATTTTCTACAGCCATTCATTATTCCCAGCCATAAATAACTTCATTAAATTAAGCAGTTTGGATGTCTTTAACTTACCAAGTCTAAGTGTTCTGTTTCTGCATGCCGTTCCATTTGCAAACAAATCATCATACCTTTCATTTGCAAAGCGCACTGCACTATATTCAGCAACTTGGAATGTATCACACAAGTCATAAATCTCCAAGCCTGAATGAATGAAAATGAATGTCATTACTTGTTGCAACCAAAGATATCAAACTCTGGTGTATTAGATACACATAATTCTTTCAGTCTGCCAAAAGAATAACCATAATTATGATCCATATTACACAGTAATGCGGAAAACAAGTTGCCATTATCTATGATTTGAAGTAAGCTTCTATTCAAATTTACAACAATTTGGGAATTAAACCTATTTTGGAAGCTTTCAATTTGAGTCAGCTGAGAAAGTTTGAGGGACCCAGACTTTAACCTAAACTTTAGATACAAAGTTTGAGTAGTCAACCGACAAAATTCAAGATAGAGATGGTCAAGAGATGGTCATTTACCAACACTCAGCCCAGGTAGTTGGATAGAGTCCGGTAAGTTGTCAGCAGCTGCCATAGCAGCTTTCATGGACAGCAAACCGTAACTGGTCTCAGCGTTGAAGTTACAGAGAATCCCACTGGTTGTATTTTGGCCAGCCTGATGTAAATTCAGCATGAGCCCGAGGGTCAAATCTGCACTGGGCTTCGTTGAGATAGGTGTAAGCCCCTGTATGATTGGGCATGATTGTCCTTGCTGAGATGAGACCTGCATCACTGTCACCATGGATACAAGGAGAATGCAGATAAGATGGTGAGGCACCATCATTGTCTGCTGGTTCAACACCATCTTCCTGAAGCAAACAGAAACTTTAAATAAAATTTATGTGATGACTCTTCCAGAATGTACGATGGCAAATGTTAATCTAAAATAAGTAAAAATAAAGTTACTTGTGACTTCCCTCAGTGATGACTTTTTACAAATTAGATTTCTGAGCCAAACTTTAAAATAAAGTGTAAATAAATGCTGTTTATACAATATATTGTACGAATCAGTCTTTGCAACATAAGATCATTATGTCTACACTGCACTAATGTTTTTTGTTTTAAGAACACTATAGTTGCTGTTGCTGCCATAGCAATGGGGCAAGGGAGTGGTTGCCCTGTCCAAGAAATAAAGAAAAATAAACAAGGACAAAAAGAGGGAAAAGAGAATAAAGGGAAAAAAATCAATCACCAATTGGCTTCAAGACACCTCAGACTGACTCCCTTCCCCTCTTAACTGAGTTGTAATGACTTGAGTCCATGACTTGACTGAGTCTGACTCGAGTCACAATTGTTGAATGGTTGGTTACTCAACTTTGAGTCCTGACTGGTAAATGAATTGAGTCTCTGTGACCAATGATTGACTTGACTCAAATCTCTCATGGAGACTTGACTCGTGTAAAAACGTATAAGACTTGAGTCTCGAAAAAATTGAAAGCAAAATTTAAGTTGGCTAGATACCTGTCACCCTTATTTATTTTCAGCATCTATATGAAAATAAAAATACCCAAAAATGCCTTACATGTAGTTGTGTTTTATTGTATTTTGTTCAAAAATTTGTGACTTGAATTGACTCGAGCACACAAAGTGACTCAACTTGATCTCTTGACCTAATGACTTAACTCCAGTCACAATGTTAAAATGACTTGACTCAACTCAAGTCACCTAATTTAGTGACTCATTACAACACTGCCTCTTAATGGCTTATGCTGATGATTTTGCTTTGTCCCCATAGTAATCCAAATGGATTATTACAACAAAAATGGACTCCATGGGCAAACATTCTTCTGTAAAGGTTAATGGTCGTCTGGTGAGTAAAAGATGATTGTATCCCTGGTTACTTTCTTGCATGTCCTAAAGCTTATTACATGTACTTAATGGGGGTGGTAGATGGGGTCTGCAATGTAGTTTTCTTGAAGTTACTTTCCAATATCAAAATATTCAAAGATAAAAAATACAGCAGCATCTTGCTACAAAATTAATGAAACCCTTCAAACGTCACCCTGGCCCAGCCAATGCCATATGATAGTTTTTGACTCAACAGGCATGCCAGACTTATTTTAACAATGAACCTGGAATGCAAATGAATGGTTTTATTCAACACCAGTCCTTTCAGAAAAATAAGTAAAGAAATCCAATCCCCATACTTCCCCTGACGCCAAACCTGCATGCCACTGACATGCACATCAGTGGCAAGCATATATTCAGCGTCTGTCAAATTCAATCCAGAGCAACTTATCTTGACAAACTTTTTTGTATACAACAATCCTCTTGATCAACCAGGCATGACAAGCTTGGGAAAGCTGACCTAGGGTTAAAAGCATTAGTGATGAGCTGCATTTCCTGTTGAGTGGAGCGGGACTACTGGGCTGTAAATTCAAGGTAGCATCAGTCAACATATTTGGGTATGCTACAGTGGGAATAGTTTGGTGGTTATCATTTTGACAATGCAATAATCAGAAACACATACTGATTTTGACATTATTTCCATTGTCATTAGAAATAAAAGCCTACTGCGTACCAACTGAAGAGTCTAGAGATATATAAATCTAAGAAGGGTGAAAGTAAGAATGGTCAGACATTTTGTTGCTCTTGTAAGAATCTTGTTTTAAAAGCAGCAGATGAAATATTCTCCAAAACACAAATCTTCAAGTCCTGTGCATTTGTTCATGTTTTTAAGTTCTAATTCTTTTGTGAAGCAAGGGGTGGTTTGTGGTTTGAGCCTCATGACGAAGAGTGGAATAATGAAGCAAAAACACTAAATGAAGGACCACAGGGAAAGGGCTGGCTCACAGTACATGTGTATGAATCTCGTCGTTCAAGAATTGTTTTAGTTCAGCCTCACTGGCAAAGACGTTGATTCATTAATCATCATCATCAGCCTGAAGTTCATTCTCACATGCATCTGAAGTTCCTGATGAAGCAAGGGTTCATCTCTGCTGCTTCAGCCTACACTTGGGGACGGTAGATCTATAGTTACATGTATATTAACCAACAGCCTAGCAGAAAGAATGCTAATTGCTAGTGTATGCAAACCTAATTGGGTGAGGGTTGGTTCATATTCAGTGCCTAAACCTTCCTTGACAGCCTATGAGTTTTACTGTGCCATGCGTGGCGATTCAAGGGTTTTTTTCATGAATGTTCAGGTATATGAACCTTGATATGAAAATTCAATGTCAAATCATGGGAACCTGAAGGCTTTAATTGCAAAAGCCAACATAAGCCCAAAGCATTCAGTGTTCTCACGACTCCAAAACCCTAATGTTTGTTGTTCCTATAATGGAGATTATAATGATGAAATTGATATAATTATAAATATATTGATCAATTGATTATTGATAATAATAAAATAATCATTTGATTCACTTTACCCAAAAGTTGTCCATTGCCTGAAATAAGGTTTCTCTGAACTAAAGTTTATTTAAATCATGAAACATCTAAAAGCAACATGTCTTAGTTATGACATCAGAAGCACAGCAGAAGCAAAGGCTATACAGGCTGTATCATGAAGGCTGTGGGCTGTTTTATGTTCCAGATTTTGGAACTTTAATGAGCCAACTGGGCTTTTTAAGACCCCGGTCACGATTATCAAGCAATTTTTCAAATTTTGTCACAGTTGCCACATGCCATCTGAATCTTACAACTTGATTTTTACAACTTCACATTGTTCATTCCTTTTTTGCAGTTTACAATTTACGCAATATGTACTTACCAGATGGAACTTTCCAGAGGAAACCAACTTCAGCCACACAAGTAGCCCTTTAAACTCAGCTCAAAAGTTACAAATCTGTGGACTCAGAGATTTATACCAGTTCCCCTCTGAAAAGGATGAAAGGGCTATTTATGCTGGGGAAAGGTTAATGGTTGTTTTGTGTTAGTGAAGTAACAAAAACCTGACCGACTGACCGCAACACTTTTGTATTCCTTTCACAATTTTAGGTCCACTTTCATTAAGTGTACACCTTTTTTGCATGCATGGCTTCTTATGCATGAAGGGCAGTGTTTTGATCTGGCAAAAAAGTCTCTCTTCTCATGGTGCAGATTCTACCTACATGCATCAAGTTAGATTATTTACTTATTAACTTATTTACCTGAAAAATGTATGGAGGAAAATTAATGATTTATTCGGAGCACACACAAAATCAATGGCCCTTAAAATAAAAGACGTTATCTCCACGAAGTCCTGTGTAATAACTGGTGAAATGCTGTTTTTTTTTTAGTTTGAAGTTACTGTTTTTCAGTAGCAGTTTAAAATACCCAAGAGGTGGATTTTTTTACCTAGCAGGCATAACAAAAGCACTGTTATTGAGTCATATTTCATCACCCAATTGCATTCAATTTGTAATGATGCTGACCTGGGATTGCTACATAGTAAAGAAGAAAAAAATGTCAGTTATTCTTGCTAAAATATGTGGGTCTTGGCTATTTGGACTGCAATTGCGACACCGTATTTCCTCATCAAGGTTGTCTTTTGAGCGTGATTTGACACAAATACTCTTATTATTTGTAAACAGTTACCAACTATGAGTTGCAATTCAAACAGTTCATCGTAGAACTGTGCAAAATTTCGATAAAGACATTTTGAAATGTTCCATGAAGAACATCGACTGCTAGAAAAACAATTTATAAAGTTTTATCAAGCTGATGTAGGTGGTGAAATCTCCCCATCCTCCAACCAGTTGTTCTTGGCTGATATGGAGACAAGAAGAAACATTTCAATAAAACTTGATAACATGGGAAGACTTCCAAATACGTACATGGTCATGCTATATTGTCTACAATATGAGTCATTGAATGAAAGTGGTACAAATTTTTCACACAACTGATTTCCATGCTCTTGTGACCATGTTTATATGGAAATATGGAAGTTTAAAGAACAGAAAGGAATGTGGGAATGTGGGGGTTGTTTTTGTAGCCTAAAAAGCACAACTCCCCCAACCTTGTTTACGACTGACTGGTCACGTTTTGTGCAATTCAGGTTTAGGCAAGGCTGCCACAATCCAAAACAACCTGCACCTATCATGTTAATTTGACTGTGGCTTGAAGAGAGGAAAACATGCTGTCCTGAAGGTGAAGTTCTCCAAAAAGAAAAAAGGCAACTCAATTTGGTGAGTGCAAAATGCCCAGATTAAACTTTTAAAACTTTTATTTACTTGTTGGTACTTGAATCTAATAATAATTGTAAATGTAAGTGCTGAAGTCTTGCTGTGTAGGTATAACAGAACGTTGGAGAGCACTTGGAACTTTCAAAATGCCTTGCCCCTGGAAAAAAATGGAATAAGTTGCAAAATGTTCTGAGACTTTAGATGAAAGTGATATCAGTGTTTAATTAGGATGCAAAGAAATTTTTAGGCCACATTTTTCCTACAAATAATGTTATAGAACTCATTTCACTCGAGCTGCCCAAACCCGATTTCCCAGAGAGGAACTGGAAACACATAAGGCAACAAAGTCACCATTACTCATGACGCTCAAGTACATGTACCTTGAACTAAATTTGCATCAGCAATGGCAGCAATTCAATCTTTCAATCTAAATTTGTTAACAGCCAATTCTTGCTTCAATCAGGTGTAACATAAAGTGAACAGACTCTTTTCCTGCCAGAAACCTAAAAAGGCACTTTCCTTGTGTCAACTTGGGATGTTTCGCCATTGAATGAGACCAGCAAAATGTTTACCCCAAAGAGGTTTATATAACATAATAACTCTGCCTCGATCACTTTAGTCTCACCAACCCGTACCAATGAGATAAACTGTTGAATCAAGCCCACTTCGATGCCTGTGGTCAGAGTGACCCAAGCTACATTTACCATGCATCTTAAAGAAACAACCCGTGCGTCACATGATTAACACCCATGGTAACCTCTTTTCATTTTGGCTCTGGTCTTTTGAGGAAGAGAATATTCTCAGGATCTAGGAAATCAAACCTTCTGATTGAGTGAACTTTTTAAAGCTTTCACATATGTGCTATTTAACAATGCATCTGCTCAGACTGCTCCCAATTGACTGACTGTACATTTGAACAACCTACTTCAACCTTAACGAGCTTATCCAGAAACGTAACCGCCTGCCTGACCACTTTATTTGTTGCCTGCAAACTTTGAGAAGCTAGTCCTGGTTGATCGAAACTATTTTGCTGTGTATGCAGAATGAAAAAGAAAACCTTTGAAGTTGAGTTGCAAAATATCAACACGCATCTGGCAATAAGATCAATACATGGCTAGACCAGCCATCAAATATAAACCTTCATTTGTAAGTCCATGAAGCTGAGCCCGACACAGTGGTATTTCTGGCACTAATATAATTCTTGATAGGTGACAAAAAATTGTAGGATCATGCATTATGACTAAATCAGTGACGTTTCAAAGCGGGGTTCATTCAAACATCCTCAACGTTTGAATATTAAGATAAAAAATATCTTTATCTTTCTGGCCAATTTAACACTCACCATTTATCTGTGAAGCAAAAATTTTCAGAGTAAATTTCAGATTGGCAAAGGAATACATGTATATTCTGAAGCAATTAATCTGAAGTGATGTATTCAGATTTATAACAGGGGCTGGCTAGGCAGCCTGCATTAATGAAAGCTAAGGTGCCCAAAATGGAAGATGAGCTGAACATACGAGCATGGCATGTTTTTCATGCAGGGCATGTTGTGTCTTTAAAGTGATTAAATAACCAGTCAAGAACATGAGAAAAATACTGAAGGAAAAAGATTTTCCTTTGAATTGTTAAATGGGGGGTCATTCTCAGAGACACCCTCTCTGAATCCACAAATGATCGGAAAGTATGATATGTCAGCAATTAAAACTGGTTAAATTCATGTTTTTAATCTCAGGAAGAAGGTTCTCACTTGTCAGAGAATGATGGCTCCGAACCAACTCGGTTGGATTCTCTTTGTATCCATGGCGACAGTGATGCCGGTCTCCTCTGAGCAAGGCCAATCATGCCCGGTCATGCAGGGGTTTACACCCATCCTCACCAAGCCCAGTGCAGATCTTACCCTTGGGCTTATGCTGAATTTACATCAGGCTGGCCAGGATACATCCAGCGGGGCTCTATGCAACTTCAGTGCCGAGACCACTTCTGGTTCACTGTTAATGAAAGCTGCTGCAGCAGCTGCTGACAACTGGCCCGACTCCATCCAACTAGCTGGGCTGAGTGTTGGTAAATGACTATTGCACTAGAAGACTCCCTTGTCTCTTGAATGATTTCAATATGCGGAGGCATAACCTTATGCGGGGGAGGGGGGGCTGAATGGGAAATTGTGAGTGTGATGACTTGCCGGGCCGTGGTTTGTCTCTATTGGGTGATGTTTACGATACAGATTTATATGTGTAATGTTTTACACTCCTGCTAAACCATCAAAAGGACATGGCTTCGTTACTCCAATTGGTCTCTGTCTCTGAGTGCTATTGAATACATTGAATTTCTTCACAGTCTGCCCTATTAAATTTTTTTCACCATGAAAAAGTGAGAGGACAATTCAATAGCCCGTTCCCTCAGGTCAAAATGTATTTGGTGGATATACCCCTATCCCCTGAGATTTATGCCCATGTCAGTGAATGCATAATTTCTGGGGCAAGTTTTACTTTTTCATTCATTGCACTGACTCAAAAATATTTAGAAACAGGCATGTGTTGATGCATTAATTCAGGTAACTGCTTAAACTTTGGTTCCCAGATCTAAAGATTAGGGTCACTCTAACTTTCTGTGCTGACACGTCGTTCCCATTATTTCCAAATTCAGAGACTTTGAATAAAAACCCACGGGTACAGATTTCTCATTCTCACCTTCCTATTAAAGGTTATGAACATGGAACTTCCACAATCCTTAAGAATGCAATTTGAAATTTTATTATTTTTTACACACTGAAAGAATCATTAAAAACAACAGAGTTTGTTATATTTATTTGAGACATTTCTCTCCTTACAAGTAATGACATTCATTTTCATTTATCCAGGCTTGGAGATTTATGACTTGTGTGATACATTCCAAGTTGCTGAATACAGTGTAGTGCGCTTTGCAAATGAAAGGTATGATGATTTGTTTGCAAATGGAACGGTATGCAGAAACAGGACACTTAGACTTGGTAAGTTAAAGATTTTCTTGAACTATGTCCAAGTTGCTTGACTGTGACTGAAAATAATGCACAAGTCTATGTGAAATGACCACAGCCACATGTGTTATTCCATAGCACAATCAGGTAATTCGGACAAAGAATATATTCTTTCAACTCATTTCCTTCCATTTGGTCAGGCTTCTTGCTCTGACAAGCCTTTTAACCCCTTGCTGGGAGACTATTCTTCTGTGTTCCATATTTGTTCTGCCACTATCTCTTTTACAGGACTAATATTTGCAAATTTGATAATTTCCAACACCCCCATGTAATTCAGTTTAGTTGGGCTGACGAGCCAATGACATATGATAAATAATTCACACAAACTGTAATGCTACCTTAACCCAATCATTTTGAAACTGCAGAGCACTAATTGGCCTAGCCATGATAGATTAAAGAGTACTTCAAATTTTTTTATCATCTGCATAATAAAGCCTTCTGTTCTTCACAATCAGGTGTGGTTGGCTTCAGATATAGTTCCTGGAGTGAGTCCTTGGCACCACTTCTGCAACCACTTGACCTGCCAGCTATTTCTTTCACTGCAACGTCCACTTCTTTGAGTAATGCAGAGAAATACCCAAATTTCTTCAGGACTCTGCCACCTGACAGCTCTGCTATCATCATGGTATGTTATAATTACTTCACCAGAGAGATGCAGTACTTTCTTGCTATGGTGCTTTCCAGCAGGTTCAACTGTACTAGTGGCTAAACATATGAACATAAAATGCCTGAGTCAGTCAAGAGGCAGGGAGCTTGCAAGGGGTTAACTGCTTAACACTGATGTTATCTGGACAAGGTACCTTCCCTTGTTTTAGGGTGTTGCTGGCAAACTGAATTTTAAGGTGGTGAAGGTGGTGATGAACTCTTGTGCAAGATCTAAGACTGCAGATGGTGAGGTTCTCCTCTCCTTCAGTTTGGTGTTATAGCCGTGTAAATTAAGGCTTTGCCATGATAAGAGTACGGGCAATGGTACCTGGAGGGACAGGCAGGGATTGTGTTTTGCTGATCCCCTCAGTGACGCGATTAACCATTTGTCATGCTTTCTGACCTTAGTGTGTGAAGTCAATGTTGTCAGCTGCATTTATGATTATATCAGCTTGTGTTATTCCTGGATTGGACTTTCACTGAGAAGTCAAAACAGAGGCTTTCTCTTCATTAGAGCTGAGTAAATTGTAGACAGTGCAGTCTGTTTGTCCCGACCCGTGACTACGTACCAGTTTGTCCCAACCTGGTGCGTATAAGCCCTGTAGCATCGGCATGGCATGAAGGCCTTGCAGGAGGCATTTTTTATTACATCTGTGAAAGGGTGATGAGTACATGTAGGCTGCTCAATGTTACTGGCCACCAGGGAGGAAGGGAGGTTGTAGGGTCTTCTGACCTGTACTCAGCCCAGTCTGCTTTGCAGAAGTTCCATCTCTTTGCTGGAAGAGATGGCATCAATTGGGGCAAGGATGGAGGTGCCTTTGATAATGACAGATCTGTAATGGCTGTGGGGGAAGCAGATGAGGACTGATCTTGTCAGAGTGTCAACAGAGTCACTCATTCACTAGGCTAAATCTGGGTTGTAGTGTTCCAGTGATGTGAGCAGTTTCTTCATGAGCATCAAATAGAAGGGTTAAGTCTACCTGAGAATCCCGGTTGCTTAGTAACTCTCCACTGACAGTTGAACAGTTGTAACCACGTACAGATTGGGTGTAAAAGTTTCTTATATATAGGGCCAGGGCTTGTGGCACATCACATTAGTTGACAGCAACTGATGAAGGCTTACAGTTATTACTGGTGCGAAGCTCATGCAAATAATGGATCAGATACTATTGGATGGAAGACTTCACATAGGTGCCGTGATGTTGGCTGCCAGTGAAGGTATGAAAATAGTAGTCAGGGAAGTCTCTGCTTTCATCAGGCAGAAGGACCTCCTACATTGTTTGTTGCTAAGTGATTTCTCGCTTGAGTGACTGAGCCCTTAAAAATCAAACTGGGATTCCAGGGATGGTAGTTTGGGTGGAAGGCAATTTAGTGGGTAGTATAGGCTTCAGTTTCAAAGCAAGCAATTGTGCATACATCAGGATGCTATTTTCTATCAAAGTATTCCGTATTCTCATGTGTCGTAAATGTTGAGAAGATCTGATCTGTAAGACAGTTTAGTCAGGTACCGGTAGCTAAATATAAGAAGCTAATGGTGGATCACTAAAAACAACCTCAGGGGTGGTAGATCAACTTGTTATCAAGTATCAACTTGTTGTCCATCAATGTCAGAGACCACGTGAAGCTCAACTGTCATGCCACCCAAACCTCCCCTCTGAAAATGAGGCATCACTATTGCCATTTTAAAGCCGTACAAACAAAGCAATGACCCAAAGATCTGATCTCACTCCTGTCTGCACTGTACAACTGTTCGAGCAACTTAACAATCAGATAAAACCATGTCTTCATATCCTCTCTCCCCGATAAGCAGGCCGGTTTCAGAAAACGCCATAGTAGAGGACTACAATTAAACAAATTACACACTTACATGTATAACCAGAATGACCAACATATTTTCCACTTGAACAGGCCCTAGTGGACATTTTGAAGAGTTATGGCTGGACCTACTCAGCTGTAGTTCACAGTGATGACACACAAGGGATGAATGCACTCAAAGCTCTGGAAGATGCCATCAAAGAGGCTGGATTTTGTCTGACTAAGCCTATCAGAGTTGGTGCCACAGAGACAAGGGACCACACATATGATGCAATTGTGAATGACCTCATTCAACAGAATATCAGTGGTATGATTTATAACTTGCTCTTCAGAAACATATTGAACATTTGGACTCTCCTAGGTACTATGTGTATCGCATGAAGTTTGTGAAACTTGTATAAAAGTTAATTCCAGTTTATGGAGATACGGGTCATTTTCAAAAGTGTGACGCATCCCTGTTACACCCGACCTGTGTAATTTGACATGGAAATGTGAGCAAAATTGATTTCAAACTATTTCTTTTTGTTTGGCAGGTAATCTGCATTAATTCATCACTCTTGAAAATTAGAGAATGTGTTCTGAACTTACAAATCATATGTTAGATGTGACAGGGAAAGAAAAAAAAATTGGACCCCTAATTAATAGAATAACCCATATGCATAAAACCTGAGGTAGATGGTACAACAATGTGTAAGCCCATGATGGCATATTCGAACATACCCATCCTCCTTTACAACTTTACCTCTGAAGACAGAATTTTGGAAAAAGCAAATGTACATGGCAGTACCAAACTCACTTCTTGTGTTAACAAAGCAAGTTCTCAAACTCAAAGCATAAGTGTTTTTCTCTTCAGTTGTGCTTCTGTGGGCCTTACCAGACAATATAAGGAGGCTGTTCTTGGCCGTGGAACGCATCCAAGGTGCTGCCTATGACATGACATGGCTCTCTGGCAATTATGCACCGCTAGACATCGACTTCAGCAGCATCCCAGGCAATGCAAAGGCTCTTCGCGGTCTCTTTGTTTTGTCGCCGTTTGTGGACATGGGTGATGCATACAAGACGTGGCTTGCACAGTGGTATCCAAATGTGGAATTCAATTACGGTCCTACTGGACGACTAATTGATGCCATTCATGCTTACATAGCTGCATTCTCCTTGGCACACCAGGACAAATGTGGTGGTCAGCAAGGGGTGTGTGAGGCACTGGCCAATATCCAAGGTATGTACACAATTTGTAATTAACAAAAAGAAAAAAAAGTACAGTAGATGCAAGACTTCCGGAAAACAGCAGGTGACTCAATCAAATAATTAATTTCTATTGTAACTAAGCCTTATTTTCAACGTCTTAGTTTTTTGTGAATTTGGAAAATTGCTTGAACAATAACTACAGTGCAGTCTGGAGAAATTCCTGGTCAGTTTCAAACCGGCCTAATTGTTGAATGGAAGGGCAAATAGGTGAAACTCTAGTTTCCTCTGGTGTGTGGTCAGCAATGACCACATTTAGTGACCACATTCTGGGTTCCCAAGCTATTACAATTAGAAAATCAAAATGTGCCAGCGCAAAATGGTGTCACAAGAATAATTCAGAACTGTCAAATATGCATGATCATAAAGAGATAGAGCACTTCGTACAACACTCAGGAGCATCTGCTGAAGTGTCAACTGGGTTGGAATGTGATAGCTTTATGTCACAGTTTTGGACTGATGAGAAAGGAAAATAGCATCACACATCACAGAGAATAATTAGGCATTGTGCTATATACAAATAGTGAATGCATACATGATAGCAAAGGTAACAATAATTGCACAAACATGAAAACATACCATGCATTGTTGGCATACATGTACTGTCACACTTATTTTGGGAGCAAAATACAATATCCATAATTTCAATAACAAATGTAACACCCCATCATTATGAATTTCCACCCATCCATATGTACTGCTCACGGAATTCACATTCAACCTCACGCAGCGCCTGATCTAGCAACCAGAAATCCAAACGATATTATTGTGGAAGCACAATACATGCATGCCCATGAACAGGTGGTACCTCCCTTTTCAACCGAAGTTTGTTCTGACTTTCTAAAGATTTATGTATGCTTCACGTTATAGTTATTCAATCCATAACTTTATAAAAAAAATTAGTGAATACAGCTCCTTTCATAGGGAATGAGAAACTGTCATGCCTGTTTCCCACCCTGACCGTGTGGATATTTTTCGCTTACTATGAACGCCTTGTAATTCATAGAATTTCCGCAAGATAAATTACATGATCTTCGATTTAAGCGTTGAAAATGCCGTGCTGTTTTTCTTGATTTTTCACAAAGCAGTTGACTAAAAAAAATATGAAACAAGTCAGTGGAATGTATTAGTTGTAGTAAATATTACGTAATCAGCCTATCTCATGAAATAATGACAAAAGCTGATGCTGTTTACTACCCGTGAGACATCATGACTAGTACTTAGAGTCTGTCTGATGCCTAATCAACAACAAATGTCAATTGTTAGTTGAAATGAATTGGTCAATCAGTGGAAGGGATATTCGACAATTGTCTGATACTGCTCAATCCTTCATGTGAATTTAGATGAGTCACTGAATGTTGGGAGACAGACCCAATTGGAATTTCATTTTCTACAGTCATGCTTAAAAGTTCACAGAAAGAGTCCATTTTGAATGAAGTTGGCATCCTTTTGAGTTAAAATGTGAAATCTTGATGCCTATTGACTGATTAGGAGGAACACACAAGTAGAGAAAGAGGATGTAACTGTTGGTGTTGAGTTAGGATAAAATCTTATCTTTTTGTCACCAGGATCAGAGTTCATTGACTTCATCAAAAGAGTGAACTTCACAGGAATTGACGGTCGCACCATATCGTTTGATAAGAACGGTGACCCGGCAATTCAAGTTTTTGATGTTCTTCAGTTCAAGAGCACCAGCCCACCAAACATGTACTACTTCCAAACGGTACATGAATGCATTTCCATAGGTTTGGATGAAGACCAGTGGTAGTTTTTTCAGTGTGTACACTGCAGGGTGGGTAAAAGTGATGAAATTAATCAAAGACTGACAAAACCATGTTCTGAAACCAAACTAGGATTCATTTACACTCTGCATTCTGAATTGCAACTTCATACCAGCAGATACTTGAATGACGAGAAGTATCTCCCATATTTTTTCAGGTTGGTGAGTGGAACTCAGATCAGGGCCTGACACTCAACAAGAGTAAGGTAGAATTCTACAGCCAAGGAGATTCCCCTGTTGATCCTCCCACTTCAGTGTGTCCGGAGGGATCGTGTTTTGACCCCAGGTGCCAAGATCTCACTGAATTTATTATACACACTCTGCTTGATCTGCATGGTTCTAGGTGTGACTCTTTGAGTTTGACTCGGTTCAACCAACTTGAGGCAATTATCTATGCCCTTCACAAAATTAACCAAGACCCAAGTTTACTGCCTGATGTTCATATCTCCATCAAAACCGATGACATATGCGGGGAAGTAAATGCAGCAACTAAGGCTGCCTTGGAGTTGATCCAGGGCTGGGATTTTGACAGAGGATTTCCAAACCAAGAGGACAAGTTTCACCTCCTAGGTACACTGCATTCCGCCAGTAGTAGGACAGCAAGAGAACTCAGTAAAGTACTGCAGGTTACCCATGTACCAGTGATTGACAATACGGCAACGAGTCCTACTCTGAGTGACAAAAATGAGTCCCCTAACTTTCTACGTACGATATCCTCAGATGTCAAACAAGCTGAAGCTATGGTGGATCTTTTGGCAAGTCTCAACTTCAACTATATTCAGACGATCAACTCAAAGGGTGATTATGGGGATGAGGCTATTAAGGCACTTAAGGCATCAGCAAAAGAGGTAAGAACGAAAAAGATTTACAATACTAAAAAGGAAAGTTGGCCATTTTTCAGTGTGCAGCTCAGGTATGTGGTCAATTTTTGCTGCTTTTTCTGCCTTGAAAGGCTGTGAGACAAATACCTCTTCCTCATTGACTTTTGCAGAAAACACATAATGCAGTAAAAACTGACTGCACATGGTTATGAGATAGGTGTTGAGCAAACAGCCACAAATGACTTTGCTTAATAGACAGTTCTCATGAGTTATGAGTCATTTTACAAGTCATCATAAACAGACAGTGTGTGTAATTGTGTGTAATGATTCTTGATACTAATTTTTTAGTTTTACTGTTGTTAGGACTCATTGCAGTAGAACAATATAAAATAAGGAACAAAACATTTCTCAAAATATTGTACATTTCATTTCTGACAAATGAAGAGAGCCTTTTTGTGAGAATATATTACATATATAAACACAATAATGAATACTTTTTACCCAAAACAAATAACATCAGAGAAAGAATCATAACTTAAGAGACATCAATACTTCCACTATAATGTCTGCCTTCAGACAGGAATCTGCATTGCCAATTCCTTCAGAGTAGACTCGGACACTAATTTCGCTGACCTAGTCCATGACCTCACGGAGAAGTCTGACGCCAGGGTGGTTGTCGTCTTCCTGTTTTCCTCCCACGCCAGAGCCCTCTTCCAGCAGCTGGTTTCCATGAATATCAATTCAGGACGGTTTCAGTTCATTGGATCCGAGAACTGGGGCACCAGGATGGACTACATCCCTGATTTGGAAGGTCCAGCCAAAGGTACTGTGAGTCAGAACTGACTACACCTCAGTATCCGGCAAAGGAACTGTTGTCAAAATTAAGGACCAGGGATACCCACAATCAACATTATACATGTAAATTACTCAGTGACTTTTCACTCACCAAATAAAGAAATGTTTCATAACATTTTTCACAGTTTTACTCAAGGTTGTCTACAAGTGCTTTGGGAAAAGAGAAATTGATAATTTAAATGCATTTTTATGTTTTGTCCAATTTTTCAAGTAATATGTATTACAATAACTTTATTAAGGTTAGGTTCTTTCGCGGCTATTCACATTTTACTCCAATCGGGTACCCACTTAATGTGCTACCCATAAAAACAATCATGGAATAGAACTTTCACATCAAACATGCCTTAAATCTGTAAGAGATCATTATTATCTATGTATGATCCCAGACAACAAAATGGTATCTACAGAGTTCAGGGTAATTGTATTTCAGGAAACTGAAGTATTAAGCACATTTAAATAATTCTGTAAACATAGGAGCTCTGACGGTGACCTTCAAATCTGCAGCCGTTCGGGAATTCGAAGATTTTGTTCTTAGCCAGACTCCTGACAATGCTGAGAATAATCCTTACTTCAATGAATACTGGATGGACACATTTAAATGCAACCTTCCTGGAGCAGAACCACGGTTTAGCCAGAACTGTACAGGTACATGAATAAAATTATCCTGTCATGGTACTTTTACTTTGGAGTAAAGTTTTAAAAAAATCCAAACAGTGCTTTTTAATCCCATAATTTTGAAGTTTAAGCCCACATATGCATTTGTAAGTCTTAGTTTACACCTTTTGGGCCACCCTAAGTGCGGCCTGGTCATCAAAGCAACATATGAGGAATGTATTTCTACTGAAAAAGTTTCACAATTTTCATACTGAATCAGGATCTGAGATGCTGTCGAGCAGTGATGTTGACAGCTTGGGAGTGGAAGACTTCATCAATTCAGTTTATGTGTATGCAGTTGCCTTGTCAAATCTCATCAGGGACACCTGCCCAGACGGAAGGGTCTGTGATGCTCTCTTTGATGTGCCAAGTGAGGATTGGATTGAACACCTCAGAGCAGTTGATTTTATCAGTCATGTTGGTTTGAGGAAGAGAGTGAGGTTTGATGAGAATGGAGATGGCCCTGCTCAGTATTCCTTATACCAGTTTATAGAGAAAAATGGCACCTACCAGTATGATCAGGTATGTCTTTTATGTCCATTTACATTTCACATGAACACCTTGATCTCAGAGATTATTGTAAGTCAACGTTCACAGAGTTCCTTGTTCAGGTGTCTAGCATCCATTCAGCTGCATCTTATTTGGCACTAAAACTGAGAATTCATTCCCAAAGATTGTATTTTTATTGTCGTAGGTTGGTGAGTGGACATCAGATGGAGGTCTTATTCTGAACAAGACTGTGATTAAATTCTACAGCCCAGAGGGACCTGTCATTGGTTTGCCTCAGTCATTACACGGACAGGGATTCTGTGTTGACCCTGTGTGCAGAGACGTCGACGGTCGCACCAAGTTTGTCATTGAGGCTCTCTTTGACATTCGTGGATCAAAATGCAACACAATACAGGAGAACTGGATTACCCAGGCGGAGGCAGCAAACTTTGCAGTTCGTGAAATAAACTGCAATTCCAGTCTCCTTCCAGGTGTGCAGTTGTCAATGACTGTGAATGATATCTGCGGGGACACGGCTGCTGCTGGTAGGGCGGCATTCCAGTTGGCTGGGGGATGGGGCTTCATCAGTGGAGGGTTTCCAAGCCAAGGTAATGAGTCCTACCTGTTGGGCATGCTGCATTCCGGGAGCAGTGGTAAGGCCATCACAGAAAGCAAAGTCCTGCAAGTTGCAGATGTGCCGTTGATTGCCAGCAGTGCCACCAGTCCAGCACTGAGCGACAGGAGCATGTTTGGCAATTTTCTTCGTACGGTACCCTCAGACATCAAACAAGCTGCTGCAATGGTTGACCTGTTAACAGCGTTAGGATTGACTTACATTCAGACGATCCATACCATGGGCGCTTATGGAGAAGGTGGTATCAAGGCTCTCAAAGAGGCAGCAAAAGAGGTAATAATGTTGCAAACAAATGTGCCATAATTGTGTTTCGACCACAGATTTTTAAAGCGATCATCAAAAGACAACACTATAAATCTATTTTTGCTCTTGGAAAAATACTGATTTTAATAAGTAATAAATTTGAACTTTTGAACTTAAATTTTTATTCATTTTTTTCGAACAGAAAGGAATCTGTATTGCCAACTCCCATGTTGTTGACTCAGACACCAATTTTGCCATTCTGCTGAATAACATATTAGCCAAACCAGAAGCAAGAACATTGATTCTTTTTCTGATCGACGAACATGCCAGAGCCTTATTTGGAGAGATGGATAGAAAGAATATGGATCCAAGTCAATTCCAGATTGTTGCATCAGATACCTGGGGTGCCAGGACCGACTACATACCTGGATTAGAAGATCATGCTTTAGGTAAGCTAGTTCCCTGATTGAAATAGTTGGTTTATTGCCTAGACAATGTTTTTCTGACATTTATAAAAAATAAAGTCTCACTTTTTTTTTTATTATTGATGTGTATATGTAGGAGCATTAACAGTTTCTCCCAAAGCATCAGGGATCCCCGAGTTTGAAGAGTACTTCCTCCAACTGACTCCTGAGACTCATGATGGCATCAACCCTTTCTTCAATGAATACTGGGCATGGAAATTCAAATGCAACCTGCCTGGTGGCGAAACATTATATAACAAAAACTGTACAGGTAATGCATGCTCGCGAGCTCAATCTGATTATAATTCAATAGCAGAAAAGGGACATCTGTGTACAAGTAAATGCAACATTTGCAATCAAATCAGCAACTTGATAACCTTTGAGAGGCCCTAAGGTTGGTCAACGATTAACTGCCTTAACCCTAACCCTCCTCAATCCTTCACCTGTTGGAGGACTGAGGAGTGTTAGGGTTAATGATTCACTGCAATGCTGTAAAGTCAATTTAAACTAATGTTTTCAACACAAATGGGCAATTGTAAGGGCTATGCACAGGGACGATAGAGAGCAGAGACACTTTTTATCTGGTAAAGATGTCCCTTAGCTTTTTCATGGACTGTACATCTGCTTAATTTAGTTTCTATACAGCATCTGTTTCTTTTTTATTCAGGGTAACGAAAATATCAAGTCAATTATAATTATTGGTCACACTTCATAAGAATGTTGTACATTTTTACTTTTAAGATCACAAGGAAAAACATGAAAAAAAAACTCTGCAGTAGAGGAAACTGGAACTAAAAACCCAACTAACAACTTCTGATTCACGAGTATCATGGCAACTGTAGGACAGTCTAGGCTCTCTGTGTTTCCAACAGGATGACTACTTGTGCACAGATCCATACAAGCACTAAAATCATTTGACTGAAGGGCATTACAAAAATTGAGGGAATGCTGACACAACAACCACTTGTATTTCTTTGTCTCTGTGTTTAAATAAGACAGATTTACATTTCTGGTGTACATGTATTTGTTGTTTCAGGCTCCGAGATGCTTTCAGGAGATGATGTGACCAGCCTGGGAATGGAAAACATTATCAATGTTATTCATGCATATGCAAATGCCCTCTCTAACCTCATCAACAAAACATGTCCTGACAGGGGTGTATGTGATGCCGTCTATGGAGTGTCAAGCCAGGACTGGTTTGATTACCTAAGAAATGTAACTTTCATCAGTCAGGTTGGCTCAAAGAAGATGGTGAGCTTTGCTGAGAATGGGGATGGGGCAGCTCTGTACTCACTCTACCAGCTTAAGGAGATGAACAACAGGTACCAGTATGAACAGGTAATGTCCCTATAATATTATGTGGTGACTGACTGTATTTCTTGCTTTGTCTAAAATATCTGTCTGGTATGAATGGGACCAAAATACCTTTACTGCAATCAGAACAATGCACCTAATGCAGCATGCAATGCAACACATACACAAGACAGAGCACTCACATGTATTGCAAACCAAGGGCAGCAAGTTGAAGACAGAAACTAAGGTAAAAAATTGCTGTGGACAAGTCAGTTTTGTAAATGCGATCTGTGAAGGGAGAGATCCAATTAAGCCAAACCTACCATCATTACAGGATTTTTGCTAAACACCCTACTCATTAATACTAGACAAATTCAAATTCTCTGGATTTCAGGATGTGAGTGACAACAATCACCTGTTGAACCACCCTGTATTGCTCTCCTACAAAACTATTGTATTTGTTTATTCTCAAACAGGCATGTAATACAAGTTGTCAACTGTAATTACAGCCTGTTATTTCTGACTTTCACATTCCTGTACACCTGACTGTATTTTTAAACAGATTGGTTTTTGGGATGACATCAGTGGACTATCAAACCTTAATGATGGCATCCTTGATCCAGTGTTCTCTTCAAAATGTACTGGTTTATGTTTGGAATGCAACTCTTCATCAACAACCACAAACATCACTTCAAACAAAAATAACTATTTTCGTATATCTGGGGACTTGGACTTTCCAGTCGTGCTTCAGCTAAGTGAGTCTGGAGAAGGGGTAACATGTGGAGATCTTAAGCTTGAGGAATCACTGGTTCTGGCATCACTCCTGTATGCTCTTGACAAGCTTAATGCCAACCCCTCGCTTCTGCCAGGGGTTAAACTTGGTGTGACTGTGGTGGATTCCTGTGGGAATCCTGCAGTTGCCACAAGGAGGCTCGTAGGACTACTGGGTGATTTTGTCAGTCTTGAAAGTACTGGACCTAGTGTTGCTGTTCTAGGTCCAGCTAATCCTGATGTTGCTGAGGAGATTGCCCACATTGTGACTAGCCAGAGCAAACTGCCGATGGTAAGTAGTTAGCTCTTTGCCAAACACATGGAGGACATCTACAAGGTACAGTTTGGTATTTCAAAAATATTTTCAATGAATTCAAAAAGTGTAATCAGACAAAGGCATGATGGGAATGATAAAGGCAGGCACTTGGCCACAAAAAATGGCATAATGTAAACAGAAAAAAATTCAAATTGAAAAACAGACAGCAATAAGAAAGGAACACGAATATGAGAAAGGGGCACACAAATACATGTTTTGATAAAAATGCCTCAGAATCAAGCCCCCCCCCTTTTAATGGATTTTTCATTCTCGTCATGTAGAGTTTTACCCCTTCCCCTTCAGAGAGCCACATGTATGTTAATTCCTAGGAAAAATCTTGGCGATGCCCATGTCATTCAGAATGCAAAGAGAAGAGGGGTGGAGGACAGGTGTGGAAAAGAACAAGTTCAGTTCTTTAAAAGAAATTAATTCTTCTTTAATATTGTGTAATCAATCTATTGTTACAGATTAGCCATGGTGCTGTCAGTCCTAATCTCAGCAGCAATCCCCGCGTGTTGAGCACATCCGCTCCATACACCGAAGAAGTTGCTGCTATTATTGCAATCCTGAAGGCATATGATTGGGATTATGTGGGAGCTGTCCATTCTGCCACTCCATACGGCAAGGTCAACAATCAGGAATTCCAGATGGCTGCCAGGGAAGCTGGAATTTGCATTGGACCACAGCAATATGTTAATGATACAACGGACTTCCAAAAGGTCATCAACGATTTCAGCAGTGACAAGTCTCTGAATGTCATTGTGGCATTTGTCAGTGAGAGACACGCCAGAAGTCTGTTGTTCGCAGATAAATTTGAACTGACTAGGAGGTTTGTGTGGGTGGGGACAGACACATGGGATTCTCTTACGTTGGTGTCTGGTCTCGAAAACACAGCCAAAGGAATGTTGGTGGTGGCCAGTGACAGCCAAGATCTTCCTGAAATACAGGACTACTTCTCAAATTCAGACAGCCTACGAGCTGCAAGTTTAAGAGATCCGTATCTCAGAGATTATCTCCAGGAAATCTGTCCCAGCTTATCCGACTGCCAGCTTGAAAATCAACTCCAAGAATCCCTCAAAGAGTTGTCTGGAGAAATTGTTCCATTGGTCAATGCTTTGTATGTAGCTGCTCATGGTGTCAACTTGCTCCATGACATAAAATGTGGTTCATCCAGTGATGAACTATGTAAGAGTTTCTATGATTCATCTCCTGATGAGAAGGTGGATGCTATTCGTCGTGTGACAGTGGAATCTGGGGCTGGTGGGAAACCTTTCTTATTCAATGGAGGGAGTGTTCCTGCGGCTTACAGCATAAAAAACTACCAGTATAATGGGCAAAATGGACAATTCCTTGTTGTAAGTTACTTGTCATGCCTTGCCTATGAAATACAATCTACAATGTATTACATCAGAAAATAATTCAGATCACACTTTATTGGTACTGAAGAAAGAAGTTTTCCCTTCATTACCTTTGAAAAGCCATGGTAAAAAACTGCCATCGTAATGTCTCCAAGGGCACGTTTTTGTATCTACCCCAAATCTTACATTATAATCTACATCATAAAATGCTCATTTCCTTACTATTTGTTTTTGATAGGTTGGTGAATGGCACAACAATCAACTAAGCATTCGGAGTGCAGGTGTGAACTTGTACAGCCCCGATGCAGAAGAGCCTCAAAGAAATCCATCTGGGTGCTATTGTGGACCTGTTGAGTCACAACAGGTACATGTGTGGAGGTGGATAGATCATGGTATATGGGCAACCGTTGTCCTTGCTCTGTCTGGACTGTGTGGAGTGTTTGCAGTCTTGATAGCCATCTTGTTTCTCAGTAATCGGCAGGGTTATATTGTTCAGAGTGCATCTTTCAGTCTCAGCGTGTGGCTTCTCTTTGGTATCATCCTCATGTACCTCCTGAATCTGACGTTCATGTTTGAGCCCAATACAGCTATCTGTGGCATCCGTCGGTTTGGCATCAGTTTTGTGTACTGTGTGGTGTATGCCTCTATGCTTGCCAAGAGCATCCGCGCCAATCGATTTGCACGCAAAAAGCCTGGTGTTGACATGAACTTTGCTGGCTCTTGGTCTCAGTCTCTGTTATTCTTGGCCTTTCTTCTTCCAGAGGGTTTCCTAATAGGCGAGTGGCTTATCCTGATTCCTCCAAGCGTTCGCCGACCCTTTGACAATGACACTTGCGCACCTGGTTCAATGCAAACATGTGGCATTTCCAACATCGATCTAACCATCTTCATGATGTATGCCTACTTCTTGGTCCTGGTCACATTCTTCTCCTCCTTTGGCGCCCTCAACTCCCCTCATGCCCAGCATGAAGGTAAATCCATCTCAGTTAGTAGTCTGTTTAGCATCTTGATTCTGACTGCCTGGGCCTGTGTGCTGCACCTGGCTGACCCCCTGTATGGTATTCCGGGTATCTCCATCGGTCTGACGGCAGATGCCACGATCATTCTGGTGTTCATGTTCTTAGGAAAAGTAGGAGCCCTCACCAAGAAGGAGGAAGCTGACACTGGTAACAGGAAAGTTAAAAATGCTGATGTGGAAGATCGGCCGGAGAAGGTGATAAATGTGTACGAAAATGCTGGAGGTAAGTGACATGCACAAGACAGAAGAAAAAAACTTTCAGAGCTTCAACCCAAACAGGATGATGGTCAAAGGAGATACATGTACAGTTAACAATTGTTGTACAGGTCATGGTGTTTCATACACCCAAGGGGGCAATGGCACCCTCGGCTTCGCCTCGAGTGCCATTTGCATTTGCCCCCGAGGGTGTACAAAGCCCATGGACCCTGTCACAGCAGGCAACAATTGTTGTTACACCCCGGTTATAGCTTACACTGGAACAGTCTTATGTGTAATATATACATATTTCATGTATTTCATAAATTAAAATGCTTTGACAAACTTAAACACTTGAACAGCAAATATTGAATTACAAGGATAATTCATAAGGCATAGTCTGACCATCACAGTGCTTCAATGTCCCCTATACAGTGCACATATCCTGTAATAATTGGTGCGAAGCACCACCACGGCAATCCACCCTTGTACCCAAGATTACACAATTACAACACACTGGACACGACACATCAACTGTGGGAAAGATCACCATTATCCATCATTTTTTTCAGCCCAGCAACATCATCAGTGCGCTCGAGGCATGAATGATACATGTGTGCCGGTTTGTGGCATATCATGTGATCAATTCGCGACCAATAAAAATTCAGTATCTATGACCGTGGTATAACAATTCCAGTTGTATACGCACAGTGTAGTCCTTCCAAATTTCGATTCTGTATCAGATTCTAGGGCACAGACCTAAATTTATGGTCAAACGCAACATAATGAGCAGAAAAAAAGGCCCTCCACAAAGACTCTAATTCAAATTTTTTTTCTTTTTATTTTGCAATGACAAACTGCCCTTGCTTATCTCAAATCAGAAATTCCAACTTTCACATTTAATTTATGTACACCTATTCAGCAATGCACTACTTGAGTGAACAATTTACATGTTTTTCTACAGAAGTTCGTCAAACATTAAAAAAGAAAGTTCAGAACAAATTAACCCTCACTACCTTGAATCCTGCAACATCCACATGACACATGGTTTTTGCAGTATGTTGATGGCCTTAGGGTTGTAGAGCCCATGATGGACAACGAACCTTGACGCACCTCTGTTGTACAGAGCCGCTGGTGTTCTGCAAAGTCTTGGATTCTAAAGAATTAACAGGCCTCACCACAGAAAGGAGAGGGGTTAACACTTTGACAAAGCTTTCAATAACGATGCCAAAATGCCCCATTGTCATTGATTATTTCTTTATTTAGCTACAGCTCACGTACCAGAGGAGGCAGATGTAGATGTAGACGAACAGACCCAATTCTAAGATGGTGAGAGACAGAACACAGCGAACAGCATCTTGTCTATGAGACACAGCATTCCAAATCATCCGTAGTCTTTAATGGATAGTATCAACTTGACAAGGTGAAAAAAAAAAGATTGAGGCTACGGCTGGGAATAAGGCATGAACCTATGGAAACCACTGGCTAGCAGCTACATTTCTCTAGCCATTTCTAATGTATTTCAAAATGTCTATGTTACCCTGACCGAGAGACAGTTTGGTTGTGTCAACAACAAATTTTGAGAATCACTTTCAACATTTGGCATCAATTTACAGAGGTGAAAATCTGCAAATGGAAGCATTAATTGAAATTTTACATGTAATCCTGGAAAACAAAACGGCTTCAAAAAGATTTTTTTTCGTTAGCCACTTTAGTTTTAATGGTGGAGGAATAGAATTCTGTTCAGTAGTATATGTATATGCAGGATGTATATGATTTGACCATTTACATTTAGCTTTGGCATTTTGGTATGTAATCTTGGCCAGGCACAGCTGTATTAGTGTCCAAGTGGCTTAAATGTATTCATAACAAAACTGTGAATTATCCTGAACAATGTGAACATGATAACATAATTATACTGTATCTGCTCCTGTCAACATTTGAGGACCTGACACATAATCTATCTTTAGTCTCTATACAACCATAAACCCTCGATGGCATTTGAAAAATGTCTTGAAACAGGATGCTTCAAGAATGTTGGAGCCAACAAATACCATATTTTAGTTTGTAAGTTACACATGGAGTTATGTACATGTAGACTCAAGAATAGTATTACATTGTGTATACATGTGCATATCTACCATGGTACATGTACCTGTATATTCCACCAGTCCACGTTTGATTAAATGTGATTTATGCAAATGATAGAACCTGTATATTGTTTAACATGTATTCTGCATCAGATATACACGTACATGTACTGTATTTATGATCAATAACTACTTAATATCAGACCTGCCAACCTGCTGTACTCCTTCCTGAGGTCAGGCATTACCACACGATAGATTAAAAGGTACTTAAAAGAACCCTCAGTTCATTTAATAATCTAATCTATTATGTGGTGATGCCTGACCTCAGGAAGGAGTACAGCAGGTTGGCAGCTATGTAAAACATGTATCAATTTTACAGGTGGAAGTCTGTTTTATCATTGTTATCGATCAACAAGATACTACGATCTTAAAATGCTAACACATAATCAAAAACAGGATTTTTCAGCGAGATGAAGAAGTGAATCTTGTTTGCTTTGAAAGTAATCACAATGAAATATGAAGGACACAGCTTGGTGTGAAATGGCTTCAAATATTGGCAACTGTGATGCATAGGTAAGAGAGGAGTGGGGAAGGAACTGTACAGTAAAAAAAAAGTAACCAGATACGTGTGGAACTGTGAAAGGTATCTTTCCCTGCACAGCCTGGTCACAAGGAACGAATACTTTATCTCACATTCTATTTTTTACCTTTTTACTGATAAGAAGGTGTTGAGTGCTTTGATTTAATCTCAGTTTTAAACTTGCATAAAACAAATTATTTTGTTTTTCCATCATGTGTATCAACCAAAATATTTAACTGAAGGTGGCAGGGAAATTGGAGGTCTTGATTTACAAGTTTATCCTATGACACGTAATAAATCTGACAAAGGTGAATTTGATTGATTAGTCCCGTCAAGTATAATGTAAGAGTTTGGTGTCAAGTCAATTTCTTAATGCAAAATGAAACCACTGCACTGATTGCAATATATGAACTCCACTACATCATCCAAAATTCACGTCACTAGCCTCTGTTGCGCTTTCAACATTTTGCTGAGCTCAAAATTTACCAGAACTTTGGTAAATGAGAAATCAATACCATAAATTTTTACAGAAAGTGAATGTGGAACAGAAATCTTAAGTTCTTTCTGAAGAGAGTGGAGGGTCTGCTCAATCCATATGCCTAGACCTTTGGCCTGTCCACTGGAGGCAGAATCATGGGGATCAGAGCTCTCCACTTTTTCAACTGGGGACGTGCCTTTCCCACCACTAGTGGCCAGAACACAATACGGTAGGGCTTATGGATTGGTCAATTGATGGCTGATGGTCTCAAAACACTCTCCAACACTTTGAAAATCATTCTGCCTCCATTAGGCCTAACGTTTTGTCCAATTTTTCAGACCAAGTTTTCATCCAAGGATTTCCTACATGTAAATCAAATCACACAAGTGACAATTTATTTTTGACCCCAACCATTGTGAGCTAGTGTCATCTAGAAGGCAACCTTTCCAGATGTAACACACCTTTTTGCAGTCTATGGAATCCAAACAACAGGCAGCAATATCCAGTTTTAAAAGGCACTCCAGGTGTTTATATAGCTGAGTGATGAGGCTGAGTCAATTCAAATTACTAAACATTTGAATATTCAACCTACCATTCAATCGAATATACATTTGGTTTATCACATTCATATAAAGGCAGAAACAAAATAAAATTGTATTTTACCGACAGAAAAATGCAAAACTTCCAAGGGAAAGGAAAAGTAATTTTTGGCTTTACTGTTAGGCATAGGCATTTGTAACACCTAAAAGTAAGCCTTTAGAATACACTTTTGTAACCAATTACTTGACCTTTTTTCCTTTTCAAGTTCACAGATTTCCACCACTGATTATTCAATTAAGACAATAAATATTTAATTGTTTGATAATTGAGTGATTGTTTGAATAAATGGCACAACCCCACCGAGGAGGAAAGTCAGGCTTACCATGGACCACTGGTGCATTTAGAGAATTACAAATCAAGTAAAATATTCACACTCTCTCACTCCCAGTCTTCCCTCTTCACATCAGAACAATCATGCGAGAAAAAAAACACGCTTGCTTCCATAATATACATGTACATGTACGACAGTCCCACTGCAGCTACATGGGTCATGTTGACATGGAACACTGACTGGCATTCCAAATACAAGTACACAGAAATCAATAAATAATAATGCTCAAGCATACAAAAACACTTGTTATAGATAGGCCCTTTTTATTTCAAACATGACTGCTATATTGCCAGTAAAGTCAGTCCAATCTGCTTTTGATGTTGCCTCCACATTTGCAACGTTTCAGACCAATTTGTCAGTCAACCACCCCCTGGGGGTCAGTTTAGGTGGCTGGCATCATACGCTGAATCCAGAGCAAATCCAAAGACCACATGTGCAAAAACGATCTGGACAAATTTTGCTTCCAAAAAACATATAAACATAAAACCCATAAACACCAACAAATGGAGTACAAAAATTTCCAGTATACAGTGCACAAAAGAGCGAAACTGTTCAAAATATATTGCCTTATAGTATTAATTTCATCATGATTTAAATAATCAACCTGCTGGTCAAACAGGTACACCTAAGTACCAGTACATCAAAACAAGAGATTCAAGGCAGGTCCAATTTCACATCAATTCCCTGCCAGACGGTAGTGCGCAATTGGCTATGTGAATATTTTGTAGCAAGGTCTTTGGGACAAAAGGGACCAACATCCAATTGAAGCTCAACCATGTTCGGTGTGTCTGAGTCAGTGTATGGTCATGCTGACATGGCCCCTTCTCAAGCACACACTGTTTATCCCCAAATGATCCATGATGTTACTGAGAAAAATAAAAACTAATGTTACAGATAAATATGTGATTTTTTTCCAATTAAAAAATACCTAAAACTATGACAGGTTTTTCTTTAAATTCAAGTTCTCTATTTTATTCGTTAATTTCTCTCAACCTGCGACAATGCGAAGAGATGCTGATTTCTAGAGAATAAGTTGTGTAGATATTCGAAGCAGCTGCTCATTTCAAGCTGTGTCCCCATTGGGCCTTTTCTACCTTGCCTTTTGTTTATAGCAACTTACCATATTTCCCTTGTACAAATCTTCCACCTCCACCTCAGCAGAATGTTTATACACCACGCATGGTTAAATTAATGCGACACACTGCCGACGTTTGCCACTGTATTTTCAAGCTTAAAATCCCAATCGTCAGGATTTAACATGGATCAAATATAACCTTGCTGGATTTTGCATGGTGTGAGTAATAGACTCAGCTACCAGGCTGATGAATTTGGTAATTATGCATCTTGACTAAAATTTCCCCAATATATGCCCCAAATTTCTCCATTGCCAAATGTGGCAATTGGATGGCACAAACTTCCGGTCGACTCTGAATACATTATTTGGATGCAAAACTAAGGACATTCTTTGAACATTCCCACTGGACTGTGGTATATAATTCTGGTCAGCCATGGTAGCATTGCAAAAAAAACAACCAATGGAAACACAAAGCTCTACACAGAGACTTTTAACTTGTGTGATCTGCCACCAACATCAGAGGTACATGTAAAACTCTTCAACAGAAATGGAAAAAGAGAACTCTACTTATGTTTGAACAATCACAGCCGTAAGTGCAAAACCAACTGTAGAGCCTAAGGACTTCCAAGCATGGACTGATCTACATGTATTAAAAAAACCAATGCCGAGTTTGCAATGTGAAATTTGCAGTATGAGCGAGGCATGTGGCACTGTGCATGGAGGACAGGGCTTAATGAATAAGTCTACTGTTTTATTGCTTCTGCAAAAATTTGACTTTTTCAGACCAATAAAGGTTTCCCATAGCAAATTGCAATCGGGGTGTGTTTTTGTATTAAAAGTCTTACAATGTCAAAATCTGACTCTGTTAGTTAAGCAAAATTCACAAAATATCTGACCTATTGAAATTGAAAATGAGATGTTAAGTACGGAAAATGCAACAAAATGATATACTTAAAGAAAACCCATCCGAAATGCACCTTAGAGTTCTTCCTTTGTTTGTTCTTGCTCCTCCTTTGTTTCTTTGGGGAGGTAGGGTCCTTGTAAGAACTCTTCAGGGACCGCATCATCTTTGGATTTCTTCTTGTAGAAGCCCAAGTTGTCAAACAAGGTGTTGATTTCGGGCCGCTTCATGGTTTTCAGACCAATACGCTGTAATCACAAAGAAATTACTTAAGATGTTTAATTAAGTGTGAAATGAAGAACTACCTTTTTGCTGTTCAGAAACATATGCCACAATGTGGACATAGCTTTTGAGGTGTGCAACAAAATTCTATTTAAACATACTCAGTGGTAACCTGACAGGAAAAAACATACAGAAATCACCGTGCATTAAGTTGAAAATTGATGTTAATTACACGTAAGCAAAAGTGTGATTACGGCAAGTGCCACACACCTGCGTGCACACTTTACAACAAAGTCAAAGCAAAAGCATTCAAGGTTTTAATTCCACTGACAAAACCTGTCTTAATCGGACTTGTAAGATTCATTAATTTTTGTGACTTGAATCACTGTAATGTAGTGACTGCAGTCCAGTCATTGTAATGTAGTGACTCGAGTCAAGTCATCAGACAAAACGTTGAGTCGAGTAAAGTATTTAGCTTGAATCATTTCAAGTCACCAATGTTTGAACACAATATGATAAATAAAAAAAGAGAGAGAGTCATTTTTTTGGCATTTTTAAATTCACCCCTCGATTTCAATAGACATGCTTGCACCACAGCTTGCTCTTGAAGATATTACCGAATGACATGAACATTAGGAAGTGGCATTCTAAGTCATTGTAAATTTTTTTTTTTGCATAATAGTTTGCCTTTAATTTGGGACTCAAGCCTTATCAACTTTCATTTGAGTTGGGTCTTCCGAGGAGGGACTTGAGTTGAATTGAGTCATTTGCTTGCAGTGACTTGAGTCATTTACCTGTCAGGACTCAAGTTGAGTTGCCAAAAATTGTGACTCGAATCAGTGAGTTGTGAATCGAATCATTTCAATTCTGGTCATAATGTACACATTGACATGACAATGTTTCTCAACAAGTTCACACAGCTTGAAGTCAAGAAAATAATGTACCAACCTTAATTACGTTGCCTTCCTGGTCCAGCAGAAGTAAATCAGGATCTGCCCCGCCAATGTGCTTGAAGGGTACATTATGGCTGGAGGAAGGGGTGCATAGTCAAGAAAATTTGCAGCAGCTACATGTATACTCTAATTCAACAACCAGAAGTACACATATTGACACCATTACTGCTGTGGCACAATGCTAGAGGACAGGAGGTGCACATGCGTTAAATGCCTCTTCAACCAACATGATGTTGTGATTCGCCAACGCATGTGCGTGATAAGCTGAAGAATGCGTGTGTACATAAGTGCCATGCCACTTCAGTCCTGGTGTCTAGTTGTATTAGTCTAAAGGAAAGCAGGGAGCACAATTGGGGGACAGGTCTATGGGAAAATTTGCACCCCCCCCTTAAAAGTTTTTTTTACAGCCTATCTTTGGATCTCCTGCTTCATGGACATGCCTGCTGTGCCAAATCTTCAAATTGGACACATTCAACTGCGGGTATCTGCGGAGCAAAAAGTCACTTCTGATCGTTTGCTCAGCAAGTACCTCAACTGTGGCCTACAGTCAATTTTTGCTGCTTTGTCTACCCCTTAAGGCTGCTTCACAAAACTCAAACAGAACAGATTTTTGTCTCAAGGCCTTGCAAGGCAGAAAATGTAATATGCCACTGGATACGCCTCTGCCACACTTCCAACGAAGACATTTCCATCCCAGCTGGGATTGACAAAACATTCTTTCTGTTCTTTCATAAAAGACTGGCAAGAGGTCAATATAACCAGGAAACTATAATGGTACAACATGAAAGGATACTAGAGGGGCAGATCATGGGTTACAAATGCCTTGACTTCAGGAAGCCTGTTCAGCTGTCATCCACTGCAACTCTGGAAAGACATGATATAAAAACAGTGAGTAAAAAAAAGAATGAGTAATTTTGACAAGAGAGAGTGGTGCAACTGAGTCTCTCTATCCAACATGCGGCAATGTTTCATCAGACTGACAAATCTTAACACGAAACCCATTTGTTTTCAAATGGTGGCAACAATTCAAGGAGGTTCAATACTACGCACATGATACACGGACATGTTATCCCTACAAGTTTAAATACATGTACATGTACACTGTCAGTTTTGCTTTCAGAGCTGGAAAGATGTTTGGCAGACCAACAGGTATTTGTGTTCAGAAGAGTTATGACTAGACCCAGTGCATGGACTTTATTTCCCTTGCAAAATCCTCTAAAGCCACTAAGAAAATGTAAGATCCATTGAAGATGCAGTTCCAGTCAACTGATACAATGTGATTTTCATCTGATGGTGAGAGAAGAAATAAGCACAATGGGACCCACGTTACAATTGGTCAAGCTGCCTTAATGTCGACATGGATGATCTTACAACTGCACAAGTACTTCTTGGTCTTATTACAAAGGTACGGTAGGCCCGACATGCATGAATTGCCCTGTTGAAACCTAAACTATTAAGAAAAAGTCATAACAAATGTTGGGCATAAAAATCTGTAAGACAAACACACTCAAATTAGCTGAAACTTTTGAAAGGCATAATGATAATTGCAGAAAGCCTAGCTCTAGGGTTCATAAAATACAAATGCTAGGGCCTAGGCCTACACCCTCCTAATCCTATGGACATGGTGCCTCCTTCCTCCCCTACAGGCCTCTTTCTACATGTACACGTTCAACCGAATTCCAACTTAAGACACTCAGTGTTTCGCTTAGGCCATGTAGGCCTAGTCCTTTGCCTGACTTGAACATTCTGAGTACATAGTACCTCAAGTCTGCCCGAGTAGACAAGCCGTTCCTCGGAGCGTGCACTGTCACCAGCAGCACCTTCATCTTCTGCAGCAACCACGGCAGCAAACAGGCTCAAAACAACCAAGACGTCCCTCCAACTCAACGCCATGATGCCAGCGAGAACTCCCGACACTCCTGTGTAACGTTTGACTTATTTAAGATTTAAAAGAGTTCGACGCGTCGGCGGGAGTGCTGCCGTCGCGGACACTAGTCAGCTAGTGACCAGGCTGAAATCGGCACGAAATTCAAGTGCCTGCTGATTCACGGCCAGGAGACTAGCCACTAACAACCACGGTGGCCTGCTAGGATTGGATTAACCAACTGCTCAAGTGAACATAGGCCTCTATGTTAATTTAACTACAGGCCTAGCAACTTTTATCCTGGCCAGGTATGACCAGCATCAGCACCCGCCACCAACATGTGCAACTAGACTTAGAACTTATGAAAAAATATGATAAAGGCCGTTCGGAAGTTTGGCTGGTGTTAACTGAATAGCGACCTCTACAGGCACGCCTTTTTGTTTACAGCCATTGTTCAAATCGACAGTTTTGCGTCTACGACTTCTTATTTTGAGTAGGCCCCTATAGTACTCCACAGTTAACATACGTAGCCTTAGATAAAATATTCCTTTCTGATACTGTCTTAAGGCTGCATCCGAATCTCTTGTCTAGAGCTAGGTCTAGGTCTTCGCTCGATTGGAAATGCGTGGAGATGCGTAGACAATAGACCTAGCCGTAGCTCTGGAAGCCCGTTTCGGACACGGCCTATTCTACAAGAATTCTGCATACGACATGCACATGCCGTGGCACCATTTCATTGGTTACATCGTGTACGTTATAACGTACACGATGTAACCCTCACAGCAAAATGAGTTTAACAAGGAGGGCGACCTCTTTGTTCTGAAATTTAAGGATTTTTTTTCTGATGTTATAGTTAAATTGAGTAACCCTGGATCCTTCCACTATTGTTCTGCATATATTACTCTAAAGAGAATCGTGCATCCTTAGAATTCAATCATAATTCTAAGGTCAGAAGGCAATTTCTAAGAGTGATTTAGCTGGCAACGAAAATGCCTCCTCTTCATGATCGAGGTTGGAAAGAAAAGTACGAGTAGTTGGCACGAGTTGGTGGGGTTCAAAATGCATCCCTTTTGTACTTGTTCTTTGAGTATCTAACACGAGATCATCATCTAAAAAATGGCCTAAAATTTACGACTATTGAGATGTTTCGGGTCCGGGAACATTGGTTTACGAGTACGGGCATCCCATCTTAACGTGTTTTAATCACAAAGAAGTTTTTGTAACTTGAACGAAGAAACTGTGATGCATATTAACGTTATACACGTTATTACGTGCCCTTAGTGCGACAGTTACGAAATTTTATACGAATCCGGGAAGGGGTAGAGGACTCTTTTTCTCGATCCCCTCCTCTGAGAAGAGCCTGCGCAACTGTAGTACAGATACAGACAAAATCCAAGATTTGCAGTCTCTAATGATCCGTTAATAATGGGTCCAATTTTGAACTTTTAATCTCGAAAAAGGAAAAGTGAGTAGCACTTGATTGTATTTCACTACCTGCATTAATCCCCATCATCTGATTGGTGGATCGTTGATCACAAGTCACTGAATTATTAACAGTTCTATTCAACGGTGCCAATTTAATATAACTTCATTCACTTGACAGGTTCCCACCCCAAGTCACGTCTTGTTCCCAGTCAGAAAGAAGATAATGTGGGGACGGAAACCAGTCTAAGATTGCACGGTACAAGTGGGTGACACTTCGAAGACGAATCTTTTTAGCAAAATTACTGACACTAGTACGCGAGCGGGACCTATCTGTTTGTCTAACAGAGGAGGATTATGCAGGTATACTTCATAAAACAAATAATGAATGTTTATAAGTGCAATGGTGAGAACAGTTTCAAACGGTGACTGATGAAGTGTTGGATATCACGAGGCGACGCTGAGTGGAATCGAAAATTTCATCTGTCACCGAATGAAATTATTATTACCATTGCACTCACAAACATTCATTATTTTGTGTACTGGTCATCTTTTAAAGTATGCACCTTGTGAGCAGGTAAGCAAGGTGCCGTCCCATTTGTGGCAAGGCCTAGTCCGGGATTTCGGAACTCGGACTACGTGGAGTGGCACGGCCGTTTCCGAGTATTACCAAGATCTAGTTCTTGTTTTGCACACAAAGTTTGCGCATGCAGATTTATTTGGGAGGGGTCAGGAGATGGATGCAGTTTGCCATTTTAACATGTCAAGGTGCCCCCTTTCCCGTTTCATTATTATGAATGAAGGCTATCACTCGGCGCTGCCGAAAAATGGTGTAAGTGGTTGTACAATTAATTACAAGCGTTTTTTTTTAAATTGTTAAAGAAAAAATCCACTAATAGTCACCGTATATTTCTTTATTACTGAGGCCGTTCCTTCAGAAACAAAACCAAACAGGGGGAAAATGAAAATTACCATTGTGTCCATCAAACGAACTTAACATTAAGTAACAGAAAACTAGCACGAAAACATCATCACTAGTTCCATAGTGGCCGCAGGTTGCGATCGCGTGCCACATAGTACCGTATGCGTTTACAATATTACTTCAATCTTTTGTAGCAGACCCCAGCCCATGATCTGATGCGCTGAAATTATACTCCGCATCTGTCGCTCTGAAAAACACCCATCAGGTCGATGAGGCTACACCCCCAACCTATCCTTGAACTGCTCTCGTTCAGACCTCTGGACAAAACAAACCCTCCCTTTATCTTCACACAGTTCTAATTTCCATTGGGTCAGGCCAGCAGACTGGTGTCTAAAGGCGTGCCAGCCTTACCGTGAACTCCCCATTGTTGCTCTCGTGGGAGCACAATAAGAGGAACGAGGCGGATGCAAGTTGTCCGTATGATTCGACTGATACAAGATTAGAACGCTAATTCTCAATGACGCCAGGTTTGGTCTTGAGGGGGATATCTGGGGGGTTGCTGGTGCATCCACCGAACGGCCATGTCTTTTAGGGGTGGTACAGGGTGTGCATGCAGAGCATGTGTAGCTGAGAAACTGAGCAGGGATGGATGTTGACACAGATGTGGTGCGTCGTCAGAAAAGATGGTTGTACTTTGCACTTGTTTCTTCTGAAGATGAGTGGGCGTGGTGGGGCTCTCATCTTGACGATCTCGCTGCATGTTACGACAATAATTATGACTGGAAATGATGACTGTGGTGAGAGTGGTGGAAGGTGAACGGGGACGTTGATAAGATGATGATGAGAAAGGGTGATGGCGGTGAACGAATGGTTGTGATGATGGTACAGGGTCAGAATGGAGATGATACTGTCAACTGTAGTAAGGATGGTGCTAATAGTGGTTAGGCAAACGAAGATGATGTTATGTTTAAAATTAGTATTGATGGTCCGATGAGGGTCAGATGATGTTGATAAGCCCCCACTCTGAATTGTTTGAGGATTGTGCTCATACATTGTAATGGTGGTGATGTTGGTCAGTATGGTGTTGATTTAATGAGGGTGGCAGTGCTGGTGGCCAGTTGATAATTAAATCACTTATAGACCAAGCTCTTGCATAAAACTCACAGAAATAAAAGAAAAACAAACTTTATTCACACGCTATTCTCTGGTGTAAGTTTGCAACATTCTAGGGACAAGGCGAAGGTATGAGCTGACTGACAGTTTGATTGAACGTTTCCTTTCACACCTGTGCTTATAGCACCCGAGACCAGTTAGGCTTCACGAAAATCTCGAAGCACAAGATGCTTCTGATCATGATTTGTAAACACCTTTAAAAATATTTTATCATAAAAAGTCTTTATCATGAAGAGCCAGTGGAAATTGTGCGTGATGGTCAGAATGTCCGTTAAACGCAACAAGTGATCTTGTTCATAATCTGTTTCTAGTTTATGCAGGCTCATTCACCAACTGCAAGTTTTCGAGCGGTTATTGTCATGTGCACGAAACACATGCACAACCCCAGCAGTGTTCCACTGCGTAACACATGGACACAACATGCTAATGAGTATCTTGCAATCTCGGTGCGTATATTTTTAATTCACAAATTTCCCGCGTTGACAATGAGAGGACCAGGAAGAGTCTGAGCTGAGCCCGTGATTGGACGGTGAAACACTCATTCGGCGGTCGCCTATTGTCTGTCTTAGGAAATATTGTACTGTTACAGGCAAGTATGTCTGAAGTGTCATGGACCGCATCGCTTGAATAATAGACATCACAGCAAGAGGTCTTGAGAGAAAGGCCCGTGTCAGCCGGTCTGTTACGGGGGATCTGGCGGGCCAAACGAAGGGACCTCGTGAAAAATGAAATGGCAGAATGAGCCAGCAATCTGCTGATTATAAATGTAAGAATACAATACAATTTTTTTCTTTTATGCCGGTTGGGACGATTCCTGCTGTGTGATTGAACGGGCTAGACGGAAGTGTGGTCGGCCGAGCAGTAGCGAACACGCGCTGGCGACCCCAGCGCCTCGCCAGCCCCAGCGTCGCCCGGCCTATCACTGCACGCCTCACAGCGTCTTGTCACCGCTTGATTTTTTTTGGTTGCACGGTCCCTTTCATTTTTGTTCTGTATTCCACAACCCATGTAATAATAAAATGAAAATGGCAGCCAATGTCGGTTGTTGCTGTCTGCATGTCTTGTTCACTATTTGTGTTCGTCTGCCATGCTATCTTCGATGCGTAGTAAAACAAGACTGGATTATCTTACGAAAACGGAGTGCGCATCTGGAACGTGGCCCTGTGGCACCGTCTGAAGTGGCAGTAAAGAGACTGTCCTTAGATGCACATCCTCGTACTTCATGGAGACTTAGACAAAAGGGTTTGCTCCACTGCTACACAACAACAGGGAACAAAAAAGAAGAGAGGACCTTGTAACGGCCGTGGGAACAGTTGGAACAAGCGCAGACCATCACATGCTGTGAAAATCGTCACTTCTGAGTCGCTCGATTTTATAAAACGGCTGCGATTTCGTCCAACCAGCATAGAGTGTAAAAAAAAAAAAAAGCAACAACACACCCCGACGGCGGACCTCATACACACAGCATCGGCATGTGAGAGTAAGGCGGGAATATACCTGCATAGTCGTGGCCGGGCACACCGGCCACATGGTGCCCCTCACACGGTGCTGTGACTGCACGTCTGGTTTTAGGCTGACGGCTCCTGTCGCTTAAACAATGTGGGCCACAGATGGTGAACAACGGACTTCGATTTTCACTTTCCAAGCCTCGCGTCCGAATTCCTGAACACAGTTCCTACCGAATCTGAACACCTGGAGGCGCAGTGAGGACATCTGATGATATAAAAATGACGGAATTCGCACAAAAATCCATCAAATTCGTCAAGTCACGGGAGCGGAGCGCAAGGATCTGAAGAACCGGTAGCTGGCGATGGCTTTCCCCACTGTTCATCAGCGAAGGCTCGGTGGTGATCGCAGCGTGGGCGAGTCGCATGTCTGGCGCTATCGTTGAAGAACAATATGTATGTATGACTCTTCTCTTTCCTGTGTAACCTGGAATTTCTCATTTTAAATATGTAGTACTGAATACACGTAATGTGTTGTTTTAGATGGATATATAAATCTGGGGCATTTTAATTTTTCAGCCTATGCTCCGAG